TTCCCTTGCTTTCTAGTTTTTTATCTCCGTGGCAGTCCAGTCGTTGTCCCAGTCATCGCTTTCCCGTATTGCTGGGAGATTCGTAGTTTTTGGTTGCACGTGATGGATTTGTTTGCCTCCCTTTGGTCGTGTATTTGATTTTACATCTTTTGATGGTCTCGGCTTGGCCCCCTGGTTCTCCCAGTCATTTTCCCTTTTGTAGCAAAGCATTATGTGGTGGGGTCCTCCACAGTACGCGCAGTCCTCGGCGTTGCAAGTCCCGATTTGATGCTTCAACAAACATTTGAAGCAGGATTTGAGTGACCTCACCTCTTTTGTTTCCAGTCAGTTCGTGTTTCTTCGTCTATTTTTGATAACACGATGAACTCCACTATAATGTCCCAGTTTGTAACCGACACGCCTAGTCCCGGCAGTGCTCGAAGTAGCTGGTTGGTCCCGTCCACGATAGTCCTGATCAACTTGAATGTTGGTCGTTGGGTAATTGCTGGAATTTGGAAGAATTTCCTAATATATTCATGTGCGATCTCATCCTTCCTTTCGTATCGTCGTAATAAGTCTCAATAATTAATTACTTGACTTTTAAATCCAGTTTTCGGATTTAAACAAACATAACGGACATTCAATTCTTTTCTCTGGATTTGATTCACCCTTGCCTACCGCTAGCGTTCCCTTTTGAAGTTAACTGGTTTTTTACCATTTAAATCCAATTCTTAGATTTAAACACTTGTGGATCTGGTACCGCCTCGGATGGTGGAATATCAGCTGCTTGTTGAACAGAGCACATTTGAGTTGCATTCACTAGTTATTCATTACTCATTTTTTATTCACTTTGAAACCAATACTTTTCAAAAAATCAATATTTTTTTGTAGTTAACGGTCGTTTTTTAGTTATCAACTTTCTTTTCACTGTTGTCTGTTGTGATCGTCGTTCACGATTGACGTTGCGAGCAGTACCTGATTCACTTTTATATGGATTTGGTTGATTCTGATATTTGATAAGTTGAAGATAATTACAATTTGAATACCATAGTGCCTGTTGTTCCCATGAATATATGTGTAATTTCTATTTAGTTGACTTCGATCTTTAGTAAAGACTTATTTTTGATGATTAGATAGAGATTTGATAGAGATTTGATTGATGATTAGATCGACTCGTGTACGTGTTAATCTCTTTTTCGCAGTGAGATTATGTAACTGCTTCAATAAAACACCTTTGACTTATACTTTTTTAAAGTTTATTTAAAATAACCACTTTAACAATTCTGTCTTAATGACACCCTAGTTTTCCCTATACAAACTCTGATTGCGGGTCAACTTTAGCATTCGTCGAGACAATCAGACTTTGTTTATTTTATATTGTAGTTGCGGGTCAACTTTAGCATTCGTCGAGACAACTACAATATTCGAAGAGATCTGGCTACTTAACTTTACTATGAAAAATACCAGCCCTTTTATACCTAAATTTTGTCTTTCCCACTTACATGAATTACATAGTACGACTATAGCAATTTCGAATTACATGGTCATATTCGGTTCAAAGTCCATGTTTACAATATTTATCTTATACTGTGTTTTGACCGTAAACCAATTTACATATTCTTATATTGACAGTGGTCATGCGATCATAGCGAATGCGATGTAACATGTCGCATAGCATCGCTATGTTATCATTGTTGCCTTTCACTTTTACAGCTTATTATCATATATGTAAACAACGGTCTTCGTTGCTTCATATATGCTTACAGTGTTATTGTGAATTAGCTTAAGACGTACAAATTCCGGTTTTTGAATGTAAACAAACATTGAAATTTTTGGGCTTTTAAATCCAGTTCGGATTTAAACAACTCGAGTAAAGACTGATTTTTTTTCAATCGCATCAACATGAAGGAAAAAAGTAGTGGAAAGAAAAAGAGCAACAAAGTTGTTAAGAAATTTTTTAACAAGAAATCGAAAAATAAATCGTTTGCTAAGAGAAAGAGACATAAAGTCATAAAATTTTTGATTTTAATGAACCCAAAACCGAAACTTATTTTTTTATTGATTTGTGGTTTCTCCATCATTTCTTCTAACATGTATGCGACACGTAAACATATATTCATTAAATTTCACTGGTTCATTATTTTCATCAACAATGGTATATATAATTTTTCCACGAATTTACTTATGTCGTAGTTTGTTAATGCTCGTTCAGGCGGCAAACTTATAAGTTTTTTCTTTGTGTAGGCTTTTTGTGTTGACAATAGAGTCCATATCCATTTTTATACGAGTAAAAAAAAGTTTTAAATTAAAAATCAAAACAATTCATTACATTCATTAACATCAGGCTCTCTATCGAACTACCAATAGATATCACCGAATCACTGCTGATAGTTATCACTGAAGCATTCTTGTTTAATCGACGCTTATTTTCATTGTTCTCATTATCGTTTTTCAAACTTCGTCGATACCTTTTTAGTTCTAATTTTGATACCAATACCGTGTCTTCACTGGTTTCACTTTGTTGACGAGATGTGCTAGGTCGTTCCATTGGTGTTTGTTGTTGTTGTGAATGTGAAGTAAAAGTAGGACTGTTATGAGTAACGACTCAGAGAAGAGTGATCTTTATTGTGTATCAGGTTTACATTGACCGCTCAGAGCTTACATGCTTACGTATGTGTTTACGCTTACTCTTGAGTGGCTGCGGCGCGTGCGTAAGCTTGTTACGACTTGCGCTACATGAAGAAGTACTTGGTCTTTCTGTTCTAGTGGTTGGCCGTTGTTTCGTCATTGAAGTTCGTTTCCGTTTCTTCGTTGGTTCCGGTGTGACCTGACGTCTTTGCCGTAGGTACTCCCGTGGCACATCGAGTGGACAATACATGAACCACGCAATTTGATCCGCAATCCAAGCGAATAGGAATTCACTTAATACTTTAACTTTAACCATTTTACAAAACACTTCTTTGCTGTTTTAAAGTCACGAAGCAACTGATCATAAAAATCATGTAAAACACAAATTCTAACAAAAATATTCGGAATCATAAAACAGAGTCGTAAAAAATTTAATATACATAACATTTTTTTGACACATATGTTCCTTCAATTTCACGATTATAATAATCAATTAAAGGATAAGTAATTGGATTCGTATACACTACTTCACACTGCAAACATGCATTGGAAATAAGTATATAAATATGCGAACACAAAGAACAACAACTTTTTTTTACAAAATATACACATCACTCTGTATCGGATCCAGGTAATGAAAGTAGTATACCTGTACCGGTTCTGACTCACTTTTTGACTGCGAGTCTGTTTAATGGTAAATACTTTGTCAGTGTATTTAAAGAACTGTTTAATAAAAACACTTGAACAATATTAGTTTTTATGCACTTTTATTCTTCACAATATTTTTATTTTATTTTCACAATTTGTTGTCTTAATGACACCCTATTTTCCCTAATTCCTGTTTAAATCTAAGAATTTAAATGGCACTTAAAAACACAATCACATGATAAAAGCTGATGAAGAATAGGGAAGCAAGTAGTGTCTAATTTGAATTGTTATAAACAAAAAGGGAAAATAAAATACGGAAACGAAAAAGGGAAAGAATTTAGTGGTTTTTAGTCAAAATATCAGTTTAAAATTCTCACTGATATAAAATAAAAGAGAGCCAGCTTTAAACAATTCCTTAAGAGCTATGAATTGCGGGTCCGCTTATGCAGAGACAATTCATAGGTCGATTCCGTACAAGTCGCGAGTCAACTTTAAAATTCGTCGAGGCAACTTGTATGGAAGAATGGATCTGGCTATCTGATTAAAATAGCAAATTTGCCCTTTATTTATACTGATTTTTCACAGATTTCTCTTTTCCCACTACAATTATTTTACAGTAAAGTCTTACAGTACAATCTCTTATCCATAGTGTAAACAACAGAAATCTTACTCAATTCGAGGTCATCATACATTTTTCCCGTATTATCAATAATATACATTGTGACGCTCTTAATTAATTCTGGTTTAGTGGCTCAACATACAGCATACTGTATATTGTCGCCCATTCCTCTTTACCTCATTAATATGCATACGCATGAGACTCATCGTTGTCTCATTATCACACGTTCGATCAACACCTCTGTTCATCGCGTATCAATGATGGTGCGTATCATCTTAATCCAGTTTTCATATGTAAACAAAGCATTCGCTCTTACATTTTTGTAACTGGTTTTTTGTTTACCTTTTTAAATTTTTTACTCTTCTTAACTGATTAGCTCTTCAGTTTGAGTTTATATCTGATAGTGAAAACACGTTAGTGATGTCACAAAATGGGTTTTGTGACGCAAGCGATAACCTTCTGGAACCAATAAATCGGCCTGGTTAAAGGGAATGGTATCAACAGAGGACAAACTATCCTCTCCGTCGGAGCACAGGTTAATCACTAAATTAAAATTAAAATTAATGGGAAACCATAAAATAAGTTAAACAAGGGAAATAATAACAATCACTGAAAACTTGATAAAGAATAGGTTAAGGTTTACACATACGGTTTGGATTTTGGCGTGACATTGTTCTTGCTGCTTTGTTGCGATCAAAACACAAACTAAAACCATCGGGCATGTTGCCCCTTTCATTTTTTGTTGTGCCTGTTCATATAAATTCGACTTCTGTGCTTTCATGGCGCTGTCATTAATAGAAAGGATGATATTATAAATTTATACTGCTAATCGGCACAGGTCTTTGCCCTGTATTTATACTGATTTTTTCCAGCTTTCTCTTTTTCCCACTACAATAATTTTACAGTAAAGTCTTACAGTACAATCTCTTAACCATAGTGGAAACAACAGAAATCTTGCTTAATTCGAGGTCATCATACATTTATCCGTATTATCAATACATTGTAACGCTCTTAATTAATTCTGGTTTTCTTACACATAACATTGGCCCTAAATAGCAGCATTGTAATGCTTTACATACTGTGGCTCAATAGGTCCACCTAGTTTCCGAAGGATAAGAGTCAACCTTGTACATGAAAACATCTTCCATCGGATGCCACTTGAGTCCCAGAACCTTCTTAGCCTCCTCGGTTTTAATTCCAACCACTGACGGAGAGGCTTTCTGTTCAAAACGATGATTCCCGTGATAAGTGAGGGAATAAACACTATCTTTAAATTTTACAAACCAAGGTTGATCTGTTTTTGTAACAGACTGAAAACTTGGCTGAATTAAATTTTGTAGATTTGATTATGTACGCACCTTGTTAAAAGTTGCTCATTAATCTTGCCAAAAATTATGTGCAAGGCGCGATACTCGCCGGCTAAGTTTTGGCTCTTCAATTTCGGAAAATCTTTTAATGATTTAAATGATTGAATCGATTTTTATGCGTGAAACTAAGATGATGAGAACGAGAATAACTTAACTAATTTGAATGTGTGCGTGGGAGATTGAGCTTGAGCTTGGTAAACAAATGAGCTTTGAAACAAAAAATGAATTCTTAAATTTTTGTTTTTATTTACTTTTTTTGGTTTGTAATTTTCAATGAAATTTTTTCATTAATTAAAATGTTGAATGATTCCGGCTCAAAATTAGCCAATTTGTATTGTATGCTTATCGTATATGTACACAATTTAAATGTTTTGAGTCTATATATCAATGAATCTAGTATAGGATTTAATTTAGGAAAACTAAAACTAAAATACTATTGTAAGCTTGAATGTAAGAAAAAAATCAATCTATGTGGTTTTCAAAGTGACAATCTTCTTGTCACCAATTGACCATCGAAAGAATTAAGTTCGAGTATTCAGTATGCAATTGACGTGTTGCATCCTTCACATCATCAGAAGTCCAAATGTATTAAAATGGAAACCAAACCATTCCATCATTCACTCTTCAAACTGCTACAAGTTTCGATGTCATTAACACCACCCTTCGACCAAATGCACAAATGCAAAGCTGCCACTCATTCAAGTCCGTGTGGGATCCAATGGCCTATTTTTATCGGTAGGTAAAAATAAATCACTTGACCTAATCAAGTCGAAAGTATATAAAATGTCTCCTTCGATGTTTTTGATGATTTCTAACACAACTGTTTATCTATTTTATTTCTTTACAGATTACATTTCCTTCATCGTATTTCACATATAAATGTGGAGCGACTCAGGAATGGATCGTTGAAAGGTTGAACCCTTTGAACCCAAAAAGAAGAATGACAAAAATACTGTATGAAAAATATACAAAAACCAACGGACCCATGACATCAAATTGGATTTTTCAATATCAGTGGCGAAATGACCAATAGTTGTGGAAAGCAGTCAAAATCTGTTCCAGTCCGTGCAGTTCACCAAATCTGTGAGTTGTAGATTTCAAATCATCTCCGAATTGATATCAACCCACGCTTATCGGTGAGTGAAAATGACATCTAATTTATAAAAAGGTGTTGTTTTTCTTGCAATTGAATTGGCACAGATAAAAAAGTATTCATTGATTTATATGGGTTTTAAAACAATTGTATTTTTTTTATATTTACAGATCACATATCCTTCCATCGTTTCTCATTGAAGCGACTCAGGTATGGATCGATCACCAACGGATAACCCTAACATCGAAAAGTTGTCGGTTAAACATTAAATGAACATGACAAGAGTAAATTAAATCAACGAACATCAATTTGTTTCTGAAATTCGGACAAAACGAAAATATACACATAAAATACGAATATTCATCAATTCTTGATTAATGCAACAACAACGCGGCAAAAACATCAAAAGTCACTTTGAAAACGCATACAAATAGAAAATAGGCTAAATAAATTAATTTTGGATCATACAAACATTTTACATGATTTTAATGAATGCTGCACGATTTCCCGATTTTTTTTCCCCAAAAAACAATTTTTCCCGAATTTTATCGAAAATCGTATGACATTTTATGAGAAACATATTTTCAGGAAATCGTGCCGCATTCCCTTTTAATATAATGTAATGACGTTAAATTAGTTTAATTTTTTAACTACTTCACGAATTGAACCACTTTTGTTCAATGTTCTTTTAAGTTCAAATAATAAGAAAATAGACTAAAAACGTTGAATAAAAAACAAAAAACGTTCCCATTTTTATCAAGAATTAAAACCAAATTACTGAATTACATCTTTCATTAAAAACAAAAAAAGAAAAACGATAGCATACCTGGAATAGTAATTTTATAATTTATAAGATATTTTTTTCGAGTTTAAATGTTCATTCAGCTTTCTTTTTAATTTTCTTGTAATTAGATTAATTTTCAGATCCAAACAAATACTTCATCATATGATATAATCCTCTTGGATCGTGTTGCAACTGGCATTGTGTTTCCTTCGCGATTTTTTATTAGTAACAATGTTGCAATACTTACATTTAGAACCATTACAATATGCCTGTCTGTAATCTTATTTGAAATTCCGTAAAAATTAAATACAAACAAATGTAATTGTTTCATAGAGATATATGAAAAAAAAAATCTTTTTTTATTCATTTTTCTTGAGATGAATTTCAGAATTGATAGAAGTCCATTGAAGAAGGTCAACGTTTATTACATAAGGTAAGAAAAGCTTGAAATATTGACATGAATTGTTTTTAAGGTAATGAAATCTTGTCTCCTACAGCTTTTCACGTTTTGATCTAATTTTGACCTTATTTGTTCTGAAAATGGTAAGTATTGAAAGATTATATGCGAAACTACATCGTAATTTCGATTTTTTCTTCTTTTTTTTCTGACTGAAATAAGTAGAATTGTGATTTTTATCTCTTTTTCTTGAAAGAAAATATCACTTTTAATGTGCGTTTCATTATTCAATCGAAATATGATAATCAGACTCAAATTCCAATAAAGAGGAATAAAATTCTTTACTGAACAAAATATTAATTGCTGCACTTAAAAGGCGTATTATTAAACCACAAAAAGTGCTCAATAAAAATTGTTGGTTCGAAATACAAATAGAAATTCCATTCCAACGGTCTTTTTCGTAATTTTGAATTATCGAACCCTGTACCGTGAGCTCAGTGAACGTCGTGAGCTGTCATCATACAATTTAAAACAACAAATTGTTTACAATTCCATATACATACCGATACAACAATGCGAGTAATTCACAACGAATATTCAGAGTAAACAACATTCAGAGAAAAATTCGTAAATACTCACAACTTTAATATTTTTAAAATAATATATATTTATTTTGCTATAATTTCTAATAATATCCCTTGCCATCATGAAATTCTCTGATTTCATAGTGGTGGAAGAGCGATTGACTGAACGATGGCTGTTTACAAACATTTACAATGACACATTCTGTCATTCAAAAGTCAGACGAACGAAGTTCTTTGTTTATATATATTCACTGTTCACCACAAAGCCGGCGTAATTGGGCGCAAAACTAAATTTAACTGGAATTTTGGCTGGAATTTCATCGGAAACACTAAACAAAAGATAATTTGGGTAAAAAATCTATGCTATTTAAACCAATTCGCTCTGTTTATAATTTGATATTTATTTTTATTTAGTCTAGCTATTGGTTGTGATAAATTGTCGGCAGAGATCAAAGGGAATTAAATATTGGAAAACATCCACCAGTTGCCGGAGACGATTTGATTGCTTAAAAATTTGATTAAATTCTTCGTCACTACAAAATTTCGTTAAAATCAATACATCACCGCACACGAGCGCGAAAAGTAACAAAGAAAAAAAAACGATTGTGTTTATTGCGCCGCAAAATGGAATCACCGTCAACAAAACGTAAGCGATTCGAAAGTGGTGTTGTGATTGAAGATCAAGTGGCAACCGCTAGCAAAAGTGGATTTGCATCGAAAATATTTCGTCGACAATATTTAGATGAAAAAACAGCCGATGTTTACTTTATATGTGGACCGACAGAGGAACGTGTGCCGGCTCACAAAAGTGTGCTATCAAAGGCAAGCGATCCATTTGATCGGATGTTCTACGGCCCAATGGCTGAAACGGGCGATGTCAAATTGCCGCACACCAATCCAGACGCCTTTCGTGATTTTCTTCAATTTTTCTACTTGGACGAAGTGAATTTGAACATGGATTACATTGTTGACATAATGGATCTAACGAATAAATATTGCATGCCCGAGTGTTTGGTGGTGTGCGGCAGTTTTTGGGCAAAACATTTGACATTCGACGATATTTGTTGCGCATATTATTGGGCGATTTTCTATCAAGAACCGGAATTTATTGAGTTTTGCGAGCGTAAAATAAGCGCCTATTCACAATTGGTCTTTAAATCTAATGGTTTTTTGCACTGCGACTACATCGTTCTCAGTCATATTCTTGAGCTGGACTCGTTGTTGTGCGATGAAACAATTGTATTTGAAGCGTGCATGGATTGGGCTCAAAATGCTTGTGTACGTGATGGATTGAATCCAAATGACACGACCAATCTACGGATCAAGCTCAAAGATTCACTCTATAAAATTCGTTATTGTTCCATGACGGTGAAGGAATTTCGTGAACATATGGATACATACAATGATCTTTTTACCGATGTTAAAGAGTATGAAGACATCATTCGGATGCTATCGGGATCGAAGAATCTGAAAACGGGACGGTTCAATCCGAATCCACGGTCGACAAACATTTTTCAGTGGGACGACAGTCGTGTTTTTAAATGCAAATTAATAAATAACAACAATTCCTCCGTTTTTAGCTCTAATAAGCCATTACTTTTGGGCGGATTTTATTGTGCACCCATTTCAGAGGCGACAAACTGGCGACATACTCAAGTTGATATGACTATTACCGAAGAACCAAAGACGGAAAATTCAGAGAAAATATGTCCCAAAATTATCGTTAGCAAACAAATCAAATTGGACGCAAAAGAAGAAACTTATGTGGAATTCGCTGATACCGGCACTCCCATTATAATCAGACCCGAATTCAAGTATCGCATCAATTTCAAACCAATCACAACAGGATTGCCGTTCTTGATAATTAATCGAATTCGAGAAATTAAACTTGACGATGAAACTATTATGCAATTCCCACAGGAAGACAACGATGAAGATCGAGCGATTATCAAACGATTCAATTTTAATCGATTATAAGTCAGTCATTTTGATGGAAATCATTACTCTTCCACACACACACATATATAAATACTTTAGTTCACAAACCCTATTAATTTACTAGTATTAAAGCCAGAAATTTTTTATGTCGACTTTTCAGTCTATTTTGGTTTGAATTTAACATTTTTTCTAATTTACTGCTTAAAATTAAATTCAAGTGAGATAAGACGGATAGTACCGTTCAGCTTGAATGCTTTAAAATCTTTATTATAGATATTTTTAATAGAAAAGCGTATTTTTCATGTTACATGACTCATGTTGAACTAGTCATCAAGAACTCAATGAACAATGTTCTGTAACCTGAAACATACATTTTAAATTTCTTTCCCATACGCGAAAGTAAAATCTCAAAATGTTGTACTTAATTTGCATTTTTATAATATTTTTACTTTTTTTTAGTCGAACACGATCAAATACGTTGTTTTTCAGACATTTTCTCATTTTATTTCAATTTTTACACTATTTTTTTTTTTTTGCTTTACAGTAATTTTGTAATTAATTTTTTCAAGAATACCTCAATAAAGTTTTAAACACCAAAGAGTGTTGTTGTTTATTTAGAAAGAGAGTGAAGAATTGAGAGACACATAGGATATCAAAGAAAAACAGAGGCAGACACACACACACAAATCTATTGTATCTTTCTGAAGGAACGAGAGAAAGATAAAATGAGACGGTAGCTGAGAGTAGAAAGAGAGACACAGAGATATGCACGAAGAGAGTAAAAAGAGAAACGCATAGACACGGAAGAATATGTGGAGAAAGTACATACATACCGAAAATAATATCTAAAAATATTTTTTATCACTTTTGTAATACGCTTCTGTTGCATTTTTATTAATTGTTCACTTTTGGTGTTTGTAGTCTCATTATTCATTAAATTTGCTTTGGGTCATTGTCATTTGCATGCACTTAATGCAAACTGTGTTATGCATACCATGGTGATATCATCAAAATAAAAACAAATCGCTGAAAATAGCTTGTTGACTCTGTGGTTACGCGAGTGCAAGCGAAAGAACGGAAATTAAGGCTATAACAGTGAGACACAACGAAAATGAGTAGAATAAGAAAATGAAATAAAATATCACTTGTTGATCGCAGACGCAGGTCATATTTCCAAATGCCACGTAAATATACACAATTTGCTTATCTTATTCATTTTTATTGATGCAAATCAGATTATTTTCGTCGCGGTTCTTCCGTCGTACATATATGTATGTGCGAGTCACACGAAGCATTTTCTGTAGAAAACAGATCGAGGCATATGCCGTACACATCGTATAAAGAAACATTTCTTTCAATTGCTTCTACTGCAGATTCTCAGCGAATTTTTCTCTCTTTCTTCAAAGTCATGGCCAAGCCAAATTAGGTAACTTATCAAAAACTGGAAAGATGATGTTATAAATAGACTCATCAAACATTTATTTTATAATTATTTATTTTATTTGTATAATTTTGGATTTTTATCGCTAATCACAACTTTAATACAGATTTTTGAAATTCGGAACCGAAAATTCAACGCTTTTAATTTGAATATGATAATAACAATATTTATTAAAAAAATTGAATGGAATTATATGAATTGAAGAAAATTTTTGTCGGAAAAAATTGATTCAATTTCGTTGTAAATTTGCCAAATTTTTCGATATTTTATAAGGTAAAAAATGATGGAAAATCATCATAACGTAATGATATCGCAAAACTTTTTCCCATTGGAATTTTTCTTTTGTTCGAATGTAACCCGATCGCCGTCAATGGTCGTCTTCCAATGCTCGCCCAGTTGTTCCATCAATTGATCGTGAACGCTTTGATCATCAAGTGAAAAGCTGAATTTTTGCGATGTATTGCATCCGTCCAATAATTTGATTATTTCATCACCGGTAAAATGTCCATCGAAAAAATTGACTTCGATCACCGAATGGGCAACTTTAAGGATTTTCAATAATGAATTGACGAATCCTTTAGACGACGATGTGTAAATGTTAAGTTTGATCAACGATGTATGTTTGCGAATGAAATCTCTGCATTCATCAGTCGGACAGCATGCAATCAATGTGAGCTCTTCAAGGTGATTGAATGTCACTGGCATTTTTCCATTCAAGTGTATCAAATTGGTTTTGAATTGTTTGACACTTTTGAAATTGACTTCCTTCTCTGATGTTTTTTCAAATCCTTTCGGCCAGTCAATATCAAGACTTTCAGCGTATTTCATGTGTTTTGCGACTTTTTCCAGAAATTTCATATCAAATTGTCCGCAGATGCCAAAGTGTTTGAGATTTTCATTGTATTGTAACGCTTCGATGACATTGTCCTCGTTGAAGCAAAATTCACTGTCAACTTTCACAGCCAAATACTTCAAATCGCGAAAATAGTCTTCGATACAATCGCGACTGGCCAAACGATTGTTGCAGCTCATGTCCAAGTGACGCAATTTCGGAAACCAAATGTTGAAATCAGTTGTATAGCTATCCAATCGACAGTAGGAAAATTGAAGTTTTGTCACCTTTGCAAAGGGTTTTTCGAATTTTTCCAATGGTCCATCGTTCACACTCGAAATTTTCAGCTCAATCAATGTATCGGCACAGAATTTGTTGACATATCGAATGATTTTGGCACGTATCAACGGATTAACACTGTAAAAATCGAGATTTAATGCGGTAATTAGGTGGCCAAAGCAGCGTAAAAATTTTAAAGCAGTTAATTTGTTGAAAATTGATATGGTGTCGCCCATTTCAACCAATTGATTTGATGATGACTCGTCATCAACACGAATCAAATTCACCAATTTATTTGCATAATCTTCCATGTAAATTGATTCGGCCATCGATTTTAGCTCAACGTTTGCGTCGACAGCTTTCAGGAGATCGATTAGGGCCATGTCCTTCAAATCACTTTCAATCGATTTTTTGGCATCTTCAGACACAGACAATTCTTTGAACTCTTGATGGATTCGCTTGCTTGGCAATTCATCGATTTCATCACTTGAACGCTTTGCAGCCGGCCTTATTTCGCTCATTTTTTTTTTTGGCACTTGATCGTCTAAACCAAATTGAATGGAAAACAAACGATAATTACTTTTACAAAACTCCCTTACACATTTACAATAACCAAAATAAACTCACATTTTGTGTAAAAAGAATTGGTGACAGCTTCAATTTTACGCACATCCAGTGTGGAAAAGGTATTTAATGCAATAAATTTTGAAAACTTTTAGCAGGAAATCATGCAAAAAGTAGTTTCTATGATGAAAACATACGTGCAGGACTGACGGACGAATAAAAACACAAACACATGTCTGATTCATGCCACTTTTCTGCAAGAAATGTCAAAATACAAACGTCATTGTGTCTGTGTGATAAATTTCGACTGTATTAGTGAACGGTGTACGGCACATCTTACTAGGTGAAATATCAAACCTTGAAATTAATTATGTGACAGAACATTCATGTTTATAAATTCAATACATTGCTTTTTATATGAATGAACAATCGCCGAATGGTATATGAATATAGCCATCCAATGAGAATGAAAACATACTTAAAGACATTTAATTTTGAATGAATATTCTTTCTCGCTCGGTAGATTTGAATTTTGAAATGTTACCAGTAGTTTGTCCTTCATTTTCAGAATCAAAAGGCAACAAGAATATAAATAACGAACATTAAATTCTATCCTAGATCAAGCGTTAGTTTACCACCACCAGAGCTGGATGTTTTTTTAAACATCGTGGTGCGAAAATAGCTTCTTTTAGTAAGTTTTTAATCCCACACTGCTAACATTCGGCTAAAAAAAATCCAAAATAATAAATATTCAATACTTTTTTCTATAACAGAGGAATGCAAGATAAACGGACGTTATAATAACTTAATAAGTCTCGTGCTGCATAAGTTAATATGTTTTATTTAATTGAGATATACAAAGGTCGTGCTATATTTTGTTACACAGAAACCTTTGTATGTTCAAATTGCATCCGAAATTTGAATATTTGCGTTAAAAAAATGATTCACGTTAAAACCGAAAAATGCGCCACTATAAAATCACGTGAGGTAAATATTCGTGACAGTAAAGAGATAAGATGCCAATAATTTACAATGAACTCACTTAAGACTCTTGAAATCTTGAAATGTTTTTCTACAAATTTATACTCACGTACATGCTCAAATAAAACATGTTCAATTTTGAATTGATCTTATTTTACAGCATCTTACGCTTTGGCATACCTTAGCCGAATAACGTGTAAGTGCTTGAAAATATGTAACAAAGCCGAACAAAGCGTTGTCATTGTCAGATGGTTTGGAACTTATCATACGGCTAGGTAAATAATCGTACTGTAAAATAAACGGTAAGTGATACATTTTTGGGATAAAAGATCAATGTAAGACGTGAAATTCGCAAAATTTCTATAGACAAAAGCTTTATTATTATATAGTTATTTATGTCGTATATGCTATCTAATTTTATCGATAGTTAGACATTGTTTTTTTTTTTCAACCTTTAATTTACCTTGTGTGAATGGGTTACTTCAGACAAAAATGCTTCAGTCTAACAGCAGCAAGCGGTGCGAACAGATCGTTGTGGGTTATACTCGAATAAACACTCAACAAGAATACGCGTTTAGACAACAACAAAACCTGGATTAATTAACAAACCTAGAATAATCGCTTTTTTAAAAGAAAAAACACTTTGCTGCTTCAAAACAAACAAATTCAAACAGATCGACGATGTGAACGAATCTCTATAGTGGACAAAGCTAATTTTTTGTAACATCTGTTGTAATTAGCATTTTATTCAATCGTTCGTTTCCAAAATGAAATAAAACAAAAACGACGAAATGTTGATTTATGATAAAATCAATGGCGACAATGTGTGTTTGTGTTTGAAAAAAAAAATGTCGATCGATCAATAAAATCTAATTAGCAAATGATAATTTCAATTTTCATACAATATCACACCTCATTCAGTAGTTTACTTATTTGCAATTTTATCAGAATCGCAATTTAAATCAACATTTGCGCAATGATCGGTAAATAAAAGCCAAACCAAGAAACAAAATTCGGTCAATTTTTTTTATTATACGCCATTGTTTTAACTTGATGTGCACATATTTACTAAAGGTTGTGATTTGTTTGTTGAATAATTCTGTTGAATCGAAAAAGTCAATATTCGAAAACTATAACACATTGGACATAAGTAGCAGTGGAATTCAGTTCGACTTGAATTCTCAATAACGTTGTGATCAGATAAGAAAGTAGTGTGCATTTCGCTAAATTAAACATTCGAAAAGTTTACTTGAACAATTTTTCTCATGGCAACGGCTCCGTCAACGCTTCGTCCACTTCCGCGTGTTGATCCGGTTACAAAGGTGTTGGGTAATTTTGGCAAGTTTCAACTCAGTGCTATGTTAATCATTTTCCTATGTAAGATACCGACGTCATGGTTCATGGCCATTATCATTTTCACTGCGCCAGGTATGTAATTTGGGTAAAATGTCAACTTTATGATCATAAAAATACAAATATTAAATTATAGCACCAAATGCGGGTGACTTTTTTTGCACACCCCCCGAATCCTTACCAATCGAATATCAATCTGATTGGATAGCTCGAGCACATCCACATAAATTAGATAAGCACAATCGTACTTTCGTTGATTATTGCGAAGTATTTACTGAATTGTGGAATAGTCCGTTGGAGTATTTTAATACACCGAACCAAACGAGTTTAATCGAAACGAAAAACTTTACTACAATGAAATGCACACATTTTACATTTAAACCCGAATATCATTCGCTAGTGGCGGATTTCAAACTCATTTGCGGCCGAGAATTACTGCTGCCACTTTCACAGTGCTTTCATATTTTTGGATTACTAGTTGGCGGTATCGTTGCCTATTTTTTACTGAAACAGTGAGTTTCTTGTTATATGTTCACCTTCAACTCATTTAATAAGTGGTATATCTCTATTTTCAGTATAAGCCCGAAAAATCTGATGATTATAGGTAATTTTTTTTTTATAATTTAAATGTTAGTTGACCTACTATAACGTTTTGTATTTATGAAGGAGTTTCGGCACAGATCATTTTCGGCAATTTAATTGGCTTCATTCGCACCTATGAATTTCATATTGTAAGTCATTTTAACTTTTTATAAAGAACGAATTCCATGTCGCAGACATAAAAAAAAATCTATTTGAACTATTTTGTTTGTCTTATAAAGCCCGATCGACAGTGTTTAATGAACATTTGATACATTTTAATGAAATTACAGCTTCTTCGGGCACTTACAGCCGCATCATGCGCGCTCATGTATAATTCTGGATCAGTCATTTGTGAGAAGCATCATATATTACTTCAAACTATTTTATATAAAGTATTTATTATTTGTTTCAAGTTACTGACATCACAAATGGACCGGCGAAAACAATTACATTGCTTGTATTTGAATTCTTTTGGTCAATTGGATTGATCATTCTACCCATATTCAATGTGTTCATCGAAGAATGGTCAAAACTGTATATTGCTATCTCGATGCCAACCATTGCATTGATTTTTTTGATAAAGTATCTACCCGATTCTCCGAGATGGATGCTTCGTAAAAATCGTATTGATGAAGCTAGACAAATTCTGATTGAGGGTGGAAATAAAAACAAACGTCGTGTACCAATAAATTTGGAAGAATTACTAAAGTCGGAATTCAACACAGGGTAAGATTTGAGAAGAAATTTGATTCAATTTCGAATTCAAAACGAAACTTTATCGATCAAATGTGAAAATTATATTGCATTATTATTATTTACAGTGCTGCAAATCCACCGCAGGCCAATTGGTGTACGTTATTCATATAAAATAATAATAATTTTGTTATTTTGAATTATTACTTATTTGATTTATATTTTAATGAAATTACAGCTTCGTTATGGGATGGAAAACCATCTCGAATTTATATATTGGCTTTACATTACGCGTGGTCGGTGTACGTGCTAAATTTTAATTGTGTCGTTCTGAACATTCGTGCATTTGGTCGTGATCATCTTTCTATAAACACTGTTGCAATTGCTTTAAGTGAAATTTTTGGCGTATTTATTGGAATTTATATAGTTTTATATACGTCAAGACGATGGCTTTGGAGTGGTTTGGCGGGAATTTGTAGTGGTTGTTTATCATATCTAACTTGGTTCATTCCACAGACATGTAAGAGTAAATGGTATATTCCAATTTGGTTATTTTTAATTTTATTGTCTCTTTTATTTTTGACAGTGAAAGAAACTCATGTCGTTGCTTTAGAAATGGCTCCAACGTTGGCAATCAAAACAACTGTTTCGATTGGGATGTGTGTACTAACGGTTTGCACAGTGGAATTGGTTTGTGCTGAACGAAGAAAGATTCTTATGTTTTCTGCGAATTCTTGGGCTCGGGGCTGGTTTCTATGGGCACCATTTATATTTATGTTGCGAACATATGATGTTGTTTTGCCATTGACCGTTTTCGGGTTCGTTTTTCGTTTTCGTTCATTTTAAAAATGTGGAAAATAATTTTCAATTCTTTACATTACAGTGCATTAAACGTTATCGGCGGTTTATTAATGGTTGTGGTTCATCAAAATCAATACAAAGCATATTTGGAAGATTGCGAACAACGTATGCAAGCTATGCAAAAAGCAGTGCGAACCATTTCAAATGCCGGCTTGGACTGGATCAAGAGCGTACGACGTTTTTTTATTATTAATTATTTTTTAGATTATTTGTTTGATCCTTTTCATTCATTCCATTCTTTCACCTTCAGGTACGAAGGAGTTCTGTTTACGATATCGAAGAAGTGCGGAGAAAATCTATTTACGATGCTGAAGAAAAAACCTGCTATGATCAAAGTCCAAACAGACAATAACGAATGAACGAAAGGGGTTTCTTCTTTTATTTAGAATTGAAAATGTTTTCTTGATTAGTTTAATTAAATGAATATATATACTTATATTTGCAATTATATTTATTTTTCGAAAGCTGCTGGTCAGCTTTCAAATCAATGCACCGCAAATTATTTAATAAAACCGAATAGATGAAAATTCTGGTTTCTGTCGTATCTAGAACTCTTGCATCTCCATTGAGCGAATTGGCCCATATTTCATTATTGATATTGATTTAAAAAAAAGTTGTTGAATGACTCCTTTGGATCTTGCCTTAGAGCGAACCAATGAGAGGATGTGAAGACTTCAAGTCTCTTTGAGCCGACGGTGGCGCACCGAATTTCAAAGGGGACGTCAATGTAATTTTACAACTCGAATCGAAACTAAACAGCGCGCCAATTTTAAAATTTGCTGTCATTTCCTCCCATTGGAGCGAACATTAAAAAAAAAAAGAATGATGTCAACAATCTCCATTCATTATCGTTGACATAAAATTTATATACATTTCGATCGATTCGTCGGCGCTAAAATGGCAATAGATGGAACAAAGATACAAACAAAACAGTTCCTTATTCGATTTTGAACAAAAACAATAGCATCATTTTGATGGTTGCGCGTGTCAATTAGAATTGATTAAATTTTATTGCTATTTATTATTATTTTTCTTTTGTCGCATGTAAGCAACTCATTTCCAGTTCAGTTGGCCGCCATTCTTTCATCAATCAAATAGCATCTTGATTTCGAGGCATCGTACATTTTGAGTTACACAAAATCTCGATGTTTTAAGAATTACTACATTTTCATAGGTAAAACAATAGTGCATCTTATAGTGGAAATTAGTTTTATTCAAAAAAGATTCTGTCGTATTTTTGTTCAATTCTCGTGAAATTATTTCTGAGATTTTTTTTGCAAATACTCAATTTTGTACGGATTTTCACTTTTTGGATAGATCATTTCACACACGAATATATTTGGCGTCTTAATTGTGCCTGTTTTTATCAATTAAAAGAAATATATCATATAAACGTCATCAATTCTAGTCATATGCTCTAGCATATGCTAAACCAGCTGTAGCACCGTGATGTTTTACAAAATAATTTTGGGCAATGTGCCAATTCTTATATACTTCGAATTTTTTTTTTCTACACAAAGAGATTTTCTATTCCCTTGTGAAAAAAAATGACTGACTATATATTAAGTCAATTTTAATCACTTTTATTCGGTTAAAATTACCAATAGATGATTGAAATCAAATATAGTCGGCTATGTTTCAGAGTTAACTAAAAGTGATTATAGTCAACATAGTTGACAAAAGTCAATTTCATATATTTATAGTTAACCGTAGTTAACTATGATCACAATCGACATTTCTCAACTCAAGTTACATGAAGACGCATATAGTCACTTATAGTTAACTTTAGCTGGCTGAAATATCAGCCATTTTCGTCCCAAATTAGTCAATTTATAGTCGGCTATGAAGTCGAAATATTTCCACAAGGGTTTCTAATATATTCTTCAATCAGTGACAGCATCGATTTTCGTAGTCCATACACAGAAGTATTCAGTTTCAATTGATTGAAAAACAGAACACGATTTTCGCACAAATATAAATTGTATTGACTTTGACATTGAGAGTACATAAAGTCGCATAAATATATTTTGTCACGGAAAATCAAGAGCACCTCTCAAAATTTACGTTGTAATTTAAAATAGATTGAAATAATGCCGAGACAGTCAATTGTTTGAGTATATTGACTGTCTCGGCATTATTTCAATCTACTAATACTACAACAGTCGTCCGGTACCATAATGTTGTAATTCAAAGTTTTTTCAGAATAAGCAGCTATATTTCAAATTTAATCAACACGTTGCAAAATCAAATTGTATACCAAGATATTGACTAAATTTCAAGCATGAAAAGAGTTTATGTATACACAAATTCTGACGACATATGTTGGTTTCGCTATGTCGTCGAAACTTTCGACTCATTTCCTCATTTTCTTGAGCCAAATTGCAAATCTTTTGACTTGAACACATTCAGTTAGTGTTTGGTTTGTGATGTATTCTGTCTATCCGCGGTTGAAAATAATTCATCACACAATTACTTCCTAATCTATAGATTAAGATATTTTGATAAATAAGGAAAACTTATAATTCACGGTACTATAATCACTCAACGTGAAACGAAACACTTTATAACGAAAAGAATACTTATTGAAATACATTATTCAAAACGGCGACGGCGATATCAAACCACGATATCTCTGAATTGAAGGTAATTCATGCAAGATTTTTTCAGTGAGAAAAAAATTCAAGTTCAGTGCTCTTCAATCAGAAATGTGCATGAGGCGCTAATATGGCTAATTAGTTGAATTTATTGTGAAATTTGTCATGTTGTTATTTGTGTTAAATTACTAATTTTTTGAAGAAGATTGCAAAAGAGTGTGCTGCACTTTAATTAGAACTACAAAGTGGAGTTAATATAACATAAATTAGTACATGATTAATCAAGAAAAATTTGTACGAAATTGTGTATTGCAATCGACTAAAATGTGTTTATTTCTTTCGCCACGACCAACGAAGTAAAGCAACCAAGAAAAACTTATGGTAAAATCTGTTCGATGTGTTGTAAAATGTGTTCACGAAATTTCAATTTGAGTTTGGCATGAAAAAAATGATAGCAAGTAACAAAAAGAATCGGAATAAATGACCTATAACTTCAATGTTTAAATTCAAACAATATTACTGTGTTTGTAAAAATGTTTAAATCACGCAATTTGCAATTACAATTTTTTTTCACTTTGTTATTTATACGAAAGAATTTTAATAGCAAATAAACTTTTATCTCTGAGTTAATTAAAATAAAGTCAATAGAGACCGAGCTTATATACCGCTTGGAACCCAATCCGTACAAAAAAATATGGGATTTGAACAAAATGTACGATACAATGCTTCCTTATCTTTCTATTATATTTTTTGATTTTGTTTGTTGGATTCGTTTTTTTTTTGCAAAGCAGTGCTTGAAATTTGCTCGAAATGTGCTCCGTTGTTTTACAATCAGAAACACAATCGAAACCAAACTATTCGATCAACGATTTAATTGGCGAATGGGGACTATGGCAGCAACGTAGCGTTTTATTTATATTTTTGTGCAAACTACCTGCCGCCTGGTTTATGGCTTGTAAAAAAAATTTAATCAATATCCAACCCAAATATTTAGTTTTACGAATTTTTTTAGGTATAATATTCACTGCTCCATTTGCGGAAAATGGTGAATATCACTGCCAACAGGAGAATTACACTCGCCTCGGTGAGATTGATCGAATTGATTTTTGCCGTGTTGACGTTAACCAGACGGTCACTATACCACCACAATCATCGCATACCGACCAATGTGAAAAATTTACTCATCATTCCATTTTCAATTCACTTGTCACTCAGTTTGATTTGGTTTGTTCACGACGTAATTTGATTGCAATTACACAGTTTTTTCATTTGTTGGGAGTCTTATGTGGAGGAATTCTTGCAAACGAATTATTGGTTTTGTGAGTTCCAAAGTTTATCGATTGATTTGTAAACTAATACATTTTCTTTTTTGAATAGCGTTAGCCCTAAAAATGTTTTTCTCATTGGGATTATCAGTCAAATCATTTGCGGATGTTTAACGGGACTTGTAAATAATTTCAAATTGCACGTATTTTTTCGTTGTCTTACGGCCATTTGCTGTTGTCAAATGTACACGGCAGGTGGAATCATTTGTGAGTACTGTTGGGCGACATTGAGTTTGTTTTGTTTTTAATTTGCATGTATTGTGTTAAATATTAGTTTCAGACATATGCGGTGGAAAATATCGGAAGTCAGTGTGCGTTTTGTTTGAATCATTTTGGGGCTTAGGCATAATATTGTTGCCAATTGTAAGTCTAGTGCCAGCATGGTCTTGGTCTTCCATTTATTTGGCGATCTCACTACCGACTGTTGCATATATTTTGATATGGTTTTGGATACCAGACTCAGTGAGCTGGCTTTTGAGACATGCCAAATTGGCTCCCGCAAAAAATAACATTTTCTATGCAATCCAAGTGAACAAAAGAACGTCCCATTTACCATCGAATTTGGACAGTTTTCTACAGCATAAAGCATACATTTATTCAAAAGAGCCCAAAACAGACAACTGGACATCTCTTTGGTCAACAAAAATGCAATTTATTTTGATGTTCGCCTTACATATTGCATGGGCTGTTGATGTAACAAATTATAACGGAATGCTGTTGAATATTCGCGCTTTCGGCCGAAAATATCTTATTATAAATACAATTGCGATGGGAATTTGTGAGCTGATCGGCGTGTTCGCCGCATGGTTTATTGTTATGAACGCACATAAAAATAAATTTCTTTATTCTGGTTTATTTAATATCGTTGCTGGCATTCTGAGTTTCATATTCCCTAGTACACGTAAGTAATACTTGCATGTCAAACGATTTCATTCACACTAAAATTCACCTTCATTCAATTTTTTTTTTCAATTTACATTACACATCAATAAATTGCGAACAGTTTCGGGAATAGACGTAGCGTTTGGGATGACATTGGCAATGATTTCAAAAATAGCAACAACTTGTTCACAGGCTGTTTTATATACGTGTACAGCTGAATTACTGCCAGCGCCAAAGCGAAATATTTGTATGTTTTCATGTGTGGTTTGGGCTCGTACTTGTCTTTTAACCGCACCATTTATTTGTACACTTACATTTGTACATAACCTTTTCCCACTAGCAGCGTTTGGGTTTATTGAAATTTGCGGTGGAATTTGTTCGTGTATTGTCGATCGCATACACAATACACCGAGAGCAACGATCGATAAAAACTCAAACGAAGTTTTAAAAAACATAGATAACTCACTAGTTACAACAACCCATATGTGAGCATCTTTATACATAGACGTATTTTTTTGTGATTATAGATTAAGTTAGAATATTAAATAATAATAATGAAATCTGGACCAATAACAATCATTCGCCATGATGTTGATTGTAATAACAAAATAATTAATAAAAAAAATTTAAAAATTGTAATACAATATTTTTATTAAAAATTTAATTCCCTTTAACCATTGAACGTTGTTAAAGCATATATTATATTGGTTTGTTTTTACTCATTTCATATAATTGGCAAATCGATAAATTAAGAACAATCTGTTTTTTTTAGAAAGTTAAACAAAAAACTTTTTGTACAATAATAAAAATTATGATTTTCACTAAGCTTTACAAAATAATTCAATACAGTGAGGAAAATATTGAGGAAAATCATTTCAGATAATCAAATAAATGTTACATCGAAATATGACATTTTAATAACAATTATGACTGCACCGTACACCGATCATTCCCCTAGCCAAAATTTCCTCTTTTCGATTAGAAGACATTTTGATTAAAAAACAAATATTTATTTACTTTAAGACGTTTTTCGACGTTTTAGGCTCGCTTCTCTTGCTATGTGCCGATAGGAAGTTTATCAGTAATATATGAATATTTGACAAACACGATTCGAACCATTTTAGCACCTGTTTAATCAATCCCATAATATCGTTTGCAATTCTGGCTAAATAATATTTCTTATGTTACCTGCCACAAACATAACTTATGATACTGATAAATATGATGCCAAAATATGATGCCATGTTTGTGTGGGATCTGAAATACTAGAGAGATGTTTGATATATCAGTTGACTTTATATTTATTCTTCTAATTGAATGAATTTTCTCGAAAAATCGGAAAAAGTGAAAATCAATAAAAAGCCATAAGTTTCTCACCTCACAGCCACAGCAAATAGAAAGAGTTGAAAAGTTCGGAGGAAGAGCAAAATCAATTTTTTTTTATTTTGCAGAAAACGTACACTATTTTGTTAACCCTACACTAAATATGAGCCAAAATAATTTCCCAGATGTATAGAACACGCACATATCGTCGCCAGATTAATAGAAAGACATCATCATAAAATATCGCATGTGATTTTGTTTAGCAATTATTCAGTATTAATTAGTTTAACGTTAATATTAAAATATAATGAAAAATGAGAATGAATGATAAAAAGTTAACCGAATTTCAAAAAATGTTGGAAATTTTCTATAAATTTCATTCTAAAATTTAACATTTTTAGAAAAATATCATTATTCTTCAATTTATTAACTCGAGTTTATCAAAGTTTTCATTGAAACAAAAGCTGAGATCGCGAAATACCATAGAAAATAAAGTATAATACTTACTAAATTCACATAAAATATTGTTTTCTATTTAATGTATTTGAAATTGATTTTCCAAAACAAATATTTTGCGATTGTTATGAATTTTTTTATCGATATTTTATATATTTTTTTTATATTTTTTTATCGATATTTTTTTATTTTATCTTGGATTAACCAATTGTCAATAACAGAATAACCAGTTCTTATTCAGTTTGCTTGTAACTCATAGAAAAAAGCATTTAAATTGGATAATTTGAATCATTTCGCTAAGTGATTCAATTTTGCTTTATCAATATTAGAATTGATAATCATGTTGACGACAATAGAGACGATTTCTACGTAGAAGTACCTCTCTCTTCTACACAATACATTGGAGTTTTTTTGGCTAATTACTAAAACAAACAAGCAAATAGCATTTATAAGGTAGATGTTATTCGCTGTCCCACCACTCGCAGAACAATCTCGTTCGTCGTCTCATTTCTTTTGTATATGTATATCTCAACAGTCAGAAAAATTAGAAAATAGTAGGGTTTTTATTTTCTATTTAATATTGTTTAATTAGAGAGTTTTAGTTGAATTTTGATAGTCATGCAATTTGTGTGCTAATTTTTAGTTCCTATTTCCACTGTTGAAAGTGCTATTAAAAGTGCGATGATGCGTGTTTGACGTGTTTTTCAGTTGCAAGGTACTGAGAATGAGAATTTTAACTGAAAACAAAGGTTTCGAACAAAAAAAATAATAATTCGGTCGTAATAAGAAATCAAAGTAATGAAATGTTTCCTTGAATTTGGACAAATATAGAGAAATTCAGACTTGAAAGAAACCTGTGATATTTGTGTAAAGGAACCACTGAATTTGGCTCAATGCCAGGACGGCAACGAAAGAATCAAACATTTTCAGTCGATCGAGAGGACAGAAGAAAAAATGGAAAATGTCATGAAATCAAATAATTTTGATATTATTGGAGAAATCAATGGAAACTTTGGAAAGTGGCAGATGCGCACGGTCTTATTAATTTTCCTAACAAAAATCCCTTCAGCGTGGTTTATGGCTGTGATCATTTTTTCGGCGCCAGCACCACGAGGTAGATTGTTTAATTTTCAGTATAATTTAATATAAATTTATTATAAATTTTTTCTTTTAGATGGAGAGTTTTTCTGCCATCCTTCGGTGAAAGTTTTAAATTCACATACACAAGAAAAGTTTGAACGGATGCTTGACTTTAATAAGACCGCTTGGATTTCAATGATGCATCCAACGACGGATTCGGATAACGATGGAACCAATAAAATCGATTTTTGTAATATATACGCTGACGCTCATAAAGTTTCCGAAATGTATTTTTATTTTCCGAAGTATATTTTTATTACTTCCATCACTTACTGATTAATTTCCATTCTTTTCTATGTAATCAACTCTAGGTATTTTCACTCGTTGTCCTCAATTACAGAAGATTGGATTTCACCCAATCGAAATGACAGCGTTATTGTGCCATGCAAACGATTTTATCATCATACAGACTTTTCAACACTTGTAACAGGTAATTTGTACAGATGTTCAAAATAATTTATTCATTAAATTTTATTTTTTCATCCTCTTTCGTTTTCTTATAAAATAGACTATAATTTGGTTTGCAACAAAGACATTCTAATTGCTAGCACCCAATTTTTTCATTTGTTTGGTGTATTAACAGGTATTTATTTACTTTTTTCCTAAATTTCTTGAATTTTTGAAAGATCATTTTAAATTTTCTATTTTTTTCTATTTTAATTTTTTTTTTCATTTTTTTTTTAATTTTATTTTTCAGGAGGATTGTTAGCAACTTATTTATTAAAACAGTAAGTTTTCTTATCTTTTCGATTATTTTTTCAACGCAATTCTAAATTTTATTTATTTATTAGTTTTAGTCCCAAAAGTGTTATGGTACGTATAATACAAAGTGACGCTTCAATTCGTCGATAGAAAATTCATACAAAACTCGTATTTTCAAAACTCGATTTTTAAGAGAATGTAATTTTTTAGCTTTTCGGCATGATCACTCAGATTTTTTGTGGCAGTATGACGGGCCTAGTTGACTCGTATGAGTTGCATGTCTTTTTTCGTTGTCTGTCAGCCATTTGTTGTTGTCAAATGTACACGGCTGGAGGAATGATTTGTAAGTTTTTGGCTGAATTTAAAGTTGAAAACATTTGTATTTCAATTTTTACTCTTAGTTTCAGATATTACATCGGGCAAACAAAAAACAATAGTGGTTACACTTTTTGAGCAATTTTGGTCAATTGGCGTAATTCTTTTGCCGTTACTAGCTCATCTTGTTAAAAGCTGGTCACATTTATATTTGGGTAATTTTTTTAAAGACTAGATTCTATAAATCTACAATTTACCATTGAAACGTTAATAATTCTAAACAAATAACAATCAGCAACATAGATATTACTAAAGAAAATTTATAAAAATAAATAATGAATAATAATATATTTATAGCAATCAGTTGGCCAACAGTAGTTTTAATCATATTATGGAGGTAAATATTAATGAACATTTCATTGCTCAATAAACTTGTATAAGTTTTTTTTTCCGTTTCGTAGATGGATTCCAAATTCACCCCGATGGTTGCTTGCAAACGGTCGCATTGATGAAGTCAGAGATATTCTTATTGAATCGGCTATTGTTAATGATCGTAAAAATGTTTTGCCATCAAATTTAGAGTTTCTACTTCGGCAGCAAGCATACAATATGCAAAATCAACTACCTCCAGCTGGATGGTGGACTCTTTGGAAAGGACCAACTGCTTCTTTTCGGAACATGGTCTGTGTACATATTTGCTGGTCCATTTATATCATAACATATTATGGAATGCTTTTGAATATTCGATCATTTAGTAGAGAGCATTTGGAAATTAATACAATGATTGCAGGTATTGCGATGTTATAAAAATTATTTACGGTTTGCTCACAGTTTAATCATTATTTAAAAAAAAAACCAGGTTGCTGTGAGATTCTCGGTGTATTTGTTGGATTAATTTTAATTTTGTACACAAGAAGAAAATGGCTCTACACAGGATTATTTAATATCATTGCTGGATTGATTGCTTACAGCGCTTGGCTCATTCCATTAGATAGTATGTTTTCTGCTTCTTTCTTTATTATTTAAAAGAAATTACCTTCTTAATTTTTTTTTTAGTTGAAGTCAATTTAAGAGTGTCACTTTTGATGTTATCATCTATGGTTTCAAAAGCCGCCATTTCCTGTACGCTTGCAATTTTAACTACATGCACTACTGAACTGGTTTCTGAAAATCAAAAGAAAATCTGTGCTTTTTCAACAATCGTTTATGCGCGGATTTTTTTGCTCTCTGCTCCGTTTATCGGCGCTACTATTGTGTTTGGTCAACTCATACCACAGACATCGTTTACAACCCTATCAATTTTCGGTGGAATTTTAAGCACATTAATTAGTAGTCCCCGAACATTAAACACACCAGTTAAGCATTCAAATTTCTCAAAAGAAATTTTTCCAGAAATATACACAATTAAAAATTTTGACAGCCTAAGCACAACGGACAAGCCCAAAGGTTGAATGTGAAGAGTCGCTGCAGTGATTAAGAGACAATTTAAAATGTTACACTATTTATTTATGCATAGAAATAAAAATGTGATAATCATCTATCTATTTATTTATTTATTTGCATAAATACAATGAAAAAGGATATCAATGAGTTTTTTAGATGATAATATCACAAGAAAATATCAACAAACTTGACGTTTCAATAAAACATTTTTCTTTCGGTCCACGGCACCCTGCCATTTGTCATTTTTGTCCAGACCTTGCATTATATGACTTAAACTAAATTGAGTATCAGCTCTGCAGCGGAATAGTGTGAGCATGGGGCATGTGTTGAGAAAAATCGCAGCATCATTAGTAGAAAATGTGCATTTATCAGCTTTGAATTCTGTTATTTGTGGCAATGACTCAGCAAATGACCATACACCGCCGTGAATTAAAAACGAGCCCGTAAGCACCGACATTTCCAATGGTAATGAAAGCTGTAATTTTTTCAATGAATGCTCACTAAAAAATGTATCGCATCCATATATGCCTTTGGCAACTACATGTACATTTTCAAGGCGATCAAATGTGAATGGAATCCTACCGATTACATCAGGCACGATAATTTCGAAATATTTGACGTTTTTCAGATGCATTTTCAGATCATCGTTGTAAAAATCGCATTTTTTGTCCGTTTCAACTACAAGCTCTTCAAGGTTTTGTAAATATTGACTGGCATTATTAAGAAATACCCCATTAAAACAGTTTTTAAGTCGTAAACTTTGAAGATTTGAATTCAACCGCAGACATGCGAGTACATTTGATTTGTTGAATCCATTTTCTGGATTAATTTCGATCCATAGATGTTTTAAATTGATAAATCGATCTTCGATGCATTTGCTGTGAAGGATTGTGTTGCCGGCTGTGAATTCCAATCGACTCATGCTTGGGAACCATTTGTTAAATTCACACAATTCTTTTGCCAAAGTTGATGCACTGAATATAACCGTTTCAACGTTTGGAAATGGTTTTTGAATGTCGTTGAACACCCATTTGGGAGCATTTTCAAAACTAAGTTTTTTCAGCGATTTGGTACAATATTTACGGATATAGTTGTCCACTTGTTCGCATTGAATTCGTTTGGTGTGGTCGAAATAAATGGCCAGACCGTACAATGAATTTCCAAAATGACGCAAAAGTTTAAGGCATCCGGTTATGTTGTGGACCCAAATGATGTCTTCAGCTATTGAGAACCAACGATATTTCGAACATTCATATGCAACGATTTCCACGAATTTATTTCCATATCTGCGCGAGAATGCCAATTGACAAGCTGATGATAAGCTCAAGTCGGATAGATGTAAGAGTTCGTCTAGCTCCAAATGATTGAATATATGATGAAGACAATCGTTATTTATATCGATGATTTTTGTTGATGGCAACACTTCGACGGCGTTTTCATTCAATGGCACAATTTCTTCGTTCTCTGCAGGTGATGATTTTGAGAGATTTTTTTGATCTTGGTTTGTTTTGACGTTTTTATTTAAATCAACCATTTTTCCCATAAACCTAGAATTGAAGTGAAAATTCAATTAATGCGTTGCAAAATATAAATGAATAATGAGAAAATAAATGAAGTTTTTATCAGTTACATTTATTTGCAAAGAGAAAAGGGCACGAAAACACAAAATCATCGACGTTTATGACGTAAATTTCATCATTTTACACATCAAATGTATTAGCTTCATTTGAAATTTCTGCGGAGTAAAGTAAACTTTGGTTGAAATTGTGTGTGTGTTAAATGTATCCTACATACCTTTCAAAATTATCCCGAATTTGATGTTATGATGATTCACATGGAATGAAAAAAAATAAATTTGATTTTATGAACGATGAAGAACATAGCTAAATGGGAGTAAAAACAAAACTGAGTTGTTTGTTTATCAGTTAATGCGACAGCGATCGTAATTACGCCTGTCACATATTCGAAATGTCAAAAATTGGTGTTATCGCTGTGAATTTTTCACCCTATTTCGGAATAATTTTGATCGAAATGTCTATATTTATGGGGAATACAGTTTGTACATCGCATACAAACGTAGAAAAAATTGCGTACAAAGTGCGTTGAGCAATGACAATTTTTTTGTTGTGACCGGTCCAAGGTTCGTTTTGCGATCCAAGTCATCGGGATACCATGATTTTCTTTCTTTTTGGAGCCTTTTTATAATTCTGAGAAAAGAAATATTTTTTTCTATCATTTCTATGTTATAAACGATGGTTGATCTCACTTGAACTTTTTCAGCATCAAGGATTTAGAGTTTGGATTCTACTCTGAGATCAGCAGTAATTTCAAAATTCAAAACATTGCATTAATTTGAATGTTTGACTAATAAACACTTTGTGAACATTGTAAATGTTTCACAGAGAGAAAAACATTAAGATTTACTACTACATTTTTGAGAAACGTCTAAACACAACCACTGTTGTGCTTTTTCTCACTGAGTAAAAGATCCTTCTATACATGCGCACAGCACACACATTGACAATTGAATAAAAAAAATGAGTGAGAAAAAACACAATAGTGGTTGTGTTTTGACGTTTCTTAAAAATGTAGCAGTAAATCTTAATGTTTTTCTCTATGTGTACTTTTTACACATTTCATTTCATATTTCAAATGTAGTAATAAATATCATTCCATTGGTGTGTGTTCCATTAAAAATCGGTTGAATAGCCGTAAAAGGAAAAAGAACAGTTTTTCGCAGAGCATATACTAAGCATAGATATATATCCTGGATATTTTGTCAGTATCCGATATTCATTGGAGCCAGACTTTGAAATAGAGTAAAAACAATAGAAGTTATTGTTATAGTGATTGTAGTAATGTAAATGGTTTTATACTTAGACCTATAACAATCACTTCTATTGTTTTCACTCCATTATAATGTCTGGCTGCGATAAATATCGGATACTCACAAAATATCCCGGATATATATCTATGCTCAGTATATGTTCTGGTTTTTCGATTAGCTTATTCAATGATTTATTTTATTTGTAGCGGCAAGGAAATATTTGTCAAGACAATTTACGCAGAAGCCCGAGGTGAACCTGAAGAGAGACAGAAACGGGTTGGTTGGGTTATAAAGAATCGTGCGGCCACGGCCAAGTACAGAAAATACTGGTGCGGCAATAGAATCGAGGATGCGTGCAAAAGGCTGGGGCAATTTGAGTGTTGGAATGGTCGCAACGATATTCCTATTAACGAGCCAGAAATTTATAATCGTATTCGTTCTTGGTCAGATAGTCTCTATGATGCTTCATTGAACGAAGACCCCACCGGTGGCTGTGATCATTTTATCAATCCAGACAAAGAAATTAACAATCAAGACCCGGAATGGACAAAAAATGTAAAAAAAATCAGGAAAAATCGACCGTTCTACCGTGGCGATTAACTTATTCAAAATTACTTGTATTCTAGGGGACGGAAACCATTAGCTAGTTTTTTATATTTCAAGTAAAAACTAGGAAAATTAGAAAAAAACTAGCAAAAACTAGAAAAATTAGCAAAAATTAGCAAAAATTATTTGATCCGCCATTTTGATATTCTGCCATGATTTGGTGACCAAATCAATTTTACAAGTCGACTATTGAAAGAAACAGGTACTTTATGCACGATTTTGTGTTAAAAAAGAATAATTAAACTAATTTTCACTATTATAAGTGTATATTTTTTCAAAACACATAAAAATATGTCTGAACAACAAAACGTCAAAATACTTCATTGTGTCAGTACAATCATTTGATTGTCATTTGACAGAACAAAAAACTAGAAAACTAGCAATTTCATAAAGGAATATTAGCATTATTAGATTATTCAAGCAATAAACTAGTAAATTAGCTAAAAACTAGTAAATTAGCTATAAACTAGAAAAACTAGCATTGGTTTCTCTCCCCTAGCTTGTATTCATTTCATTTAATCATGAAATCCATTGTTATCAAAAAAATATTATAATTTGCAATCTTATTTGAAACATTCTGGATTAAATCGCTTGACAAAATCAATTTTTATGTGTTTTATACACCGTAAATGTATTACGCCAATAAATAAAGGAAGCTTATTTTAAACTCAACTAAAACAAAGGGCAGCTCGTCTGTTATTATTTTTATCATGTTTTTTTCCTCTTATTTTTCGTGGCATCAACTGATCTCCACGTTTCCCGCCATTATTGGTGGCATCACTTTATTAATCCAATCTGTTTTTTTTTAATTTCTGGCTTAAATTACAATTTATGAAAGAAATATGAATGGAATTGGCTGTTGATCAATTAAGATCACGCAATCGAAATCAAGCAAGAACCATGCATTAAAGCAGCAGATACCATAATGGTATTGAATTAGTTAAAATTCCAGTCATCAATGTATAGGTGAAGTTCGAACCTCAAAACAATTAAATTACAATGTTCTGAATGAAGATTTGGCGAAAACTTCTATGGAAACTCATTTTGGATTAGATAATAGACGAAATAAATTTTCGAGTTCCCTTTTATCAATGAATAATTCGAATAAAACCAGTCTTTTTTTTCTATTTTCTTTTGAATATGGAGATTGTCAATTTCAAATCGATCATTTTTCACGTAATAGTCTCACTGTGTTGTAATAGACATAAGACAGTATCTAGTTGAAATTCATTAGTAATGCGAACTCATGAGAGTACAATCGAAAATGTTGCCACCAATAGAAATAACTGTCAATAAAATAAATGCGGTAATCAGCCTTTCATTTTTGATAAGTACCGCTCAAGAACCAATATCATAATTTGAAAGAAATGCGTCCTTTTTATAAAAAGAAACCTTAAAAAAACAATGAACTTTATTCTGTTGAATATCATTTTTTGCCACTCATTGAAAATTACAACTGTACTTTGAGTCTCAATAATAATGAATTCAGATCACCAAACCATTCTTTTTATAAATATGTCATTGTTTACAATGGTTTGTTTCTGCTGAAAAAATATTACTATAAAAATATAAACAAATGCACCGAGACGGTAAGTATCCTGCTAAATGAGTATTTGTAAAAAGAAGAATGCTTAATTACCGTTATTTACATAAACAGTCACTGTGAATAAAGGCGGCCATATCCTTCGTTATTTGTTTTTTACAGCAAATGTATTTTTTTTAATTAATGAAAAGATGGTGATGTACCATTTATCACATTCTATACTTCTAACATAAAAACAAAGTGGTCGAAAATGAAAAGTAGCGTTACACATGGAACCAATGTTAAAAAAATATTCAATAGCAAGAGGAAGAGAGATCTTTAACCTTTCAACGAGACTATCATAAAAGTGACAAATAAAATTTTCTTCATTTCTTCTTTGGGGCTTATTGCTTTGGGAATTTGCATGCAAAAAAATTTTTTCTCACTGTTCCGCTTTTTTTTAATGTGGGAAATATATTTTTGAGTTGTTTTTTTGGACTTTGGAGATGAGCGAGTTTGCGGAGGCTAGTTGTAATGCAGGTATATGGTCATTGACCATTGTCCATTCATCTTGAGACGGTAAAAAGGGATAATACCATAAGGGTAATAAAAGCATGCTTTTATGATCCTCTTCATTTGGAGTGGTCGGGAATTTTATTCAAATTTTTTTGTGTCTGAGTGCATTTGGTTTTTCATTCAATACAATGTGACCATTTCCCAATTAGGCACGGTTGAAACAAGTAAAGCTATTGAATGGCACTTCCTGTTGTTGAATACATGAATGTGTGAAAGGGATTACTAATTATAACACACCATTACACTTGTCTGTGAGACATAGTTTTGCCAATATGAATGAATTTTTTGAATTTTCGAAGAAAACAGTGATCCAACGATTTTATATTCAGTTACATCTGAAAAGTCAAACTCATAGCACGAGTATTTTCTCTCGAACGAACCAATATTCAAAATTAAAGGTGTTGCTCTGTTTTTCATCATTTGTACGGAAGTTACTCTGAATCAAGTGAAAAGATTCTTTAAATAACTGAAATTTTGGAATTTATATTAATTATTGCACGCGATTCTACTTTTCGCCAAATCAAGAGAGTTAATCAAGTGAAACTCAAAAAAATTCAATTAAAACTATCAAAAAGAAAAGTTCCATTAAAAAAATGGCCGAATACGAAGCAGTCTGGATGTTTATGGAACAAACAAAAATCACCGATGTCAATCTCGATTGTCTCGAGTATTTGCTAAACTATTTGGATCTGGATGATTTGTTGAATGTGGCCCAATCGAATAAATACCTCAAAACGGCCGTCGATTTAACGTTTTCCAGCCGATACAGCAAGAAATTGGTGCGAATCGGTGCCGGCGGTGAGATTTTGTATAAAAAGCGTTTCCAGCAGATCGATGACAATTTGTTGATTGGTGATGAAAAAACATCATTTGAAATGATTCGTTTATTTGGACATCGCATTTCTCGGCTAGAAATCGTTCGAAATTCGTATCTTTGTAAAAATTTCCGTCATTTGATCGGTCACATGAATCAATATTGTGCAAACTCTTTGATTGAACTTACTATTCAAGGTGTTGAAAGTGAATCATGGTTATCATTTAACCGGCCATTTAACAATGTCAAGAAACTCACCATCGAACTAAAGAATTCTTGTAATTGGACACAAAATTACTTGAAGCGTTTCTTTCCAAATGTTATCTCCTTGAAAATTCTGAACTTCAGTACTTGGACTACCAATTTTAAATGCATCGAAAATAATTTCGCCAAACTAGAGCATTTGGAAATCGGCGAAAAGGGTGTGACAGCCGCCAAAATTCGCAAAGAAAATTTATATTACGCTCTACGATTGAATCCACAACTGAAAAGTTTCAAATTGCATTGTGATTTTGATGGGAAATTCTTTCACAACGTCGAAGATTTGTTGCAGAATTTGGACGATTTAATGATGACATCGGAACATGAAGAATTTTATGGATATGATAATCTGGCGGAACTGTTTAAGAATGTTGAAAAAATTGACCGTTACTGCAATTGTCCATTGAAAAATATTCCAATTGATGGTCGACGTGATCGAGAGAAACAGTCGACACGATCAGATGAACATAAATACAGCATGCTGTCCAACTATTCAGATCCATTCATTTTTTCAACAAGATTTTAAGGAAGATTATATCATTGGCATGTGAAGAATGAAATAAATGGTGATTGACTCTGGAAAATAAGTGAATCATTGATAAAAATTTCAAGTGTTTACTCAAACACTTCCCTTTGGACCGAAAACCATTGGCAAAGCAACTGACGGATAGACACCAATAAACTAACCAATAAAGGGGAAATGGAGCAAAAACAATGTGGCTTCGATCAATATTAATTCTAATTTCAATATATATAAGAAAGTCAACCTTAAGAATTTAACGCATCAAAACCACTCTAAATGAGTGAGCCATTTTTACCTATAATAATACGCGTTAATTTCATTTGTTTCCAGTTACATACAATGTATTTTAGAGTTAAGGTGAATTGTGTGCAAAAATCTTTGATTCTGTTTTGAATGCAAAGGTTGTCAGCATCAAACAAATTCTCTTTACAAAATAAAAATTTAAAATCAAACAAAAAAAGTTTTCTTTCATTTTGCCCTGGAACGTAGCATGTTGGATAAATGCGACCTTTTCATTCTTAAACGTATTTGACAGTCTCAATGTATGCGTTGTGATTAAGTAGCACCTGTGCATAAGAGAACTGCTCCATTTATAGGCTGTTGACTGCTTTCAAAGTGTTAATGTGTGCAAACGTGAATATATTCAAAACTGAGAAAAATATAATAGTCTGAATAATAATACCAATTTCTCAATAATACAAACATAATTCACCCATTTCTACTAACAGCACCGCTGTGTGTTTGCTTCCTTATCAAAAACGAGTGAAGCATGCAGCTCGTAGTGGCATTGAATGCGAGAATGAAACACATAATGAAGAACATAAGCAGCTACACTGCTCTTTTAAGAGCTTCTCCGTGAGGTATTCATATGAATACACGACACACTGTGATCGCTATTATGATTCGTGAGTCTTATAATTCGTGAGTTTTGAATGTAGTGAATGTCTATACAAGAAATAAAGATCAATACATGGTTATAAATGACGTAAAACATATACTTACAAATGACAATGTTGTTTTACACAATCTGTATACGTTGAGAACGCTCTAATCATTCTTTGACAGCCACATTAAATTGCCTTCAATTTCGCTGTATATTCAATCGAACAGTTTGATATTTTACATTCCAAATACTTAAAAATAGTTTTTGTGAAAAAAAAAAAATATTTAAAAAAAGAAAACAATAAACAAAAGTTGGTATAATGGCACTACAAGAACCATCATCATCAAAGCGTAAGCGAGAGAAAAGTGAATCTGAAACGACCGAAAATAAAGTGCAAAGGAGTAAATTTGTATTGGATGTGACTGAAAAATTGTATTTAGATAAAAATACCGCCGACTTTTATTTTATATGTGGACCAGACCGTGTAGTTGTTCCGGCGCATAAGTGTATTTTGGCCAAAGGCAGTGATGTATTTTATGCAATGATTTATGGCGGAAAACTTGAAGAGAATGAAAATTCAAACGATAAAACTATTAACGAAAATGACATTGAATTAAAAAATGATAAAATAAAAATTGAATTAACGGAATCACCCGAAGCCCTAAAGGATTTTTTGCAATTCTTTTATAAGGACAAAGTGAAATTAAACGTTGAACATATAACCGAAGTTATGGGTTTGTCACATAAGTACTTAATGAATGAGTGCTTGGATATGTGTGGCAAGTTTTGGAGTGAAAATTTGACCATTGAAGATTTTTGCTGGGCTTATCATTGGGCAATTCATTACAACTTCGATAAATTGAAAATATTTTGCGAACGAAAAATTAGCATGTGCACCAAATCAGTTTTCGAAACAGAAAGTTTTTTAACAAGTGAATTTGTTGTTTTAAAACATATATTGGAATTGGAATCAATTTCGTGCAACGAAATATCTGTACTAAAAGCATGTTTAGAATGGGCCCATAATGCGTGCAGAAAACGTAAATTGGATGGTAGCAAGACGGAAAATTTACTAACTTGTTTGGAAGATTCACTCTATAAAATCCGCTTCGGTTCAATTGATCATTTTGATTTCATAGCGATTATTGACAAGTACCCCGGTCTTATTGCTAATCTTGAAGATTATGAAAGTGTTCATCGCTTATTATCAGGAAATTTTTCGAAACCTGGTAAATTTAATCCAAGTCCAAGGTCACAGAAGATATTCAAATGGAATGATCAACAAATTTTATACGGTTCAATACCACTTAATGATAATCCAAAAAAGGATCTCACGAGTCATTTGATAATTTTATCGTCAAATCGACCTGTGCTTTTTGGAGGATTTTACTGCGCAAGAATTTCATCAAATCAACAATTATTGTTTAACCTTTCATCACAGTCATTTCAGACGCAGAAATTCCAGACACTTGTCAAACAATCCAGGCGCATTGAAATTCAAAGCATCGAAGTAATTATTTCAGAAGAATCCACCAAAGAGTCAAGAAATATACATTCTCAATCTCATCTTCTTTCTTCGAATTCAGAAACATTTTTTGATATAAGAAGCACACCAATTATTATTCATCCAAATTACAAATATTCTATTGAGCTTAAGACATATTCAAATAATCTTTATCATTTCGCATACAATATAAGTTCAAATATGAAATTGAATGAAAAAATTACCATTCGAACTGATAAAGAGGAAGGAAAACCGGCTTACACATTTATTTCTTCATTTGTCTTTAACCCGTTGTAATTGAATACGTTTGAAAAAAGTAACATGTATGCATGAGTTTATTCTTTAAGAAGAAAAATAATATAACTTGTTTTGCATTTACGTAGAGTTGCTTTCCTTCCAAATTAGAAAAATTTCAATAATAATGATTTTTCCATACTTTGAATGAATAAAATTCGACATCAGTCTTGGTAAGTGTCTAAATTGTAGCTATTTAATTTAGATTCTTCAATAAATATAAGAAAAAAGAAGACTATTCAGTGTGTGTGTTTTCTTTTACTAAAGAACAATTTTTTCCCGTTCTAAACTAATTGAAGAAAGATACACTCAATACGCTGTGCATAATATCAATTCATATTCCATTTATTCACTCTATTGAAGATCCCAAAAAGTAAAAAGAAATGACCGAAGGAACGAAAAACGAAGAGAATATAGAAATGCGATACATTTGCCACACACGTTTTCTTCGGAAATCCAAGTGTGCAAAGCATGAAATCAGTGTGTATATGTATTCAAATGCTTAACACAAGCAGAGAGAACAAACATATGCGCTGAGACATCAAATTCAAATACATTTGAGCATGCCGGTCAACTCAAATCATATTATACTTATCACCAACACACACACACGGATACACACTATTTTGTGGTATATCCTCTATGATGTCACTTGCTTTTGTTTATTTTGAACACTTCATTCTTGAGCACCGTGCCTTTGCATCGTGAGTTAAACGCAATTCATTGCTGTCATTCTTTAACCTTTTTGCTGTCGTCTGTAAAATAAATTCTTTTCAAAGTTTTCGATAAAAATACAAAAAATTATAAAACATCCCGAAAAAATTAAATTGAATTTTTCGTGATCATTCACTACGTGGTTTGAAGTCAATTTTGTGCGCAAAAAATCTTGACGTTAATGTAAGTTGTGTGTGTTGTTTTTTCCTTCCACCATTTTTTTTTTTAAATGTTTTGATTTTTTTCTTGTGTTGTTAGTGGTTGTGAACATGCCGATCTATGTTGATTATGGCTATAGCCATGGCGACTATTACGACGATGATTCCAGCGAAGACGATGGAAATTCTTTCATCGATTGTACACATTGTGATGCACAGGTGCTAAGACGAAACTATGGCCGGCATTTGAATAACGTTCATAAATGTTCTTATTGCGATAATTACATGCCGAAGAATGCACTTGATGCACACATTCAACGTAAGCATACCGTCACATGCAAGTACTGTCCCGCCGAAATGCTGGTCGATGAAATTGAACAACACGAAAGTACACATTATACCAAATGCAAATTTTGCTCCTGCAACATCGTTGGTGATATCAATTTACACCATCGCCAAAGTCATCCGATGGAAGCCACGGTCGGCATGATTCAACTACAAAAAGTTACCGATGATTATTTCAATACATTGATTGCCCAAAATCGCATTTATTCTAAAAATGGACATATTTTTATCAAGTACTAGTAAACGAGGGACCCTTCCATTCAAAAGTACGTGATCCATAAAGAAGGCAGCTTTCATCGAAAAGATTCAAATTTGATTAGTTTTAAATTTAAATTAAGTAATTAATTCAAACTCAAATTTTCATTGATGTTTTTGGATAAAATTTAACCTTCATCGCAAAATTCAATTTAAAATATAAGACTTTTTATATTAGATTCAGTTTTGTAAGAGTTTATTGATACCTCTCAATACCTCTTTAGTTGGTAATACCTAAGTGTAGGAGGTGGCAGTATATTATTGTGGGAAATTCAATGATCATCAACAATTCATAGAAAAAACACACACTGGCGTGTCATTCGTTTGAAAATAAGCGTTGAATATATATGCATTACACATTTTACACAACATAATATTCTTCACAACGAAACGAAGAAGAGAAGAAAAAGCAAAATGACGCCACAGAAAACCAAACATAATTTTGCTTCGTTTGCGTTTCTGTGTGATTTACATTAAACATGATAAGACTGTGTGTCTGCCTGAATACAATACTGCCTGTTAGAGTAGTTTTGATAAATTTAAGCTTATATTTGGAAAAAAACTCATGCGAAGGAATTTGAAATAAAACTTGAATTACTCGAAATTCTTTCGTTGTCGATTTTGTGTTTTTTTGTTAAATTATGAAGTTCCAGATTCCAGTGAAATGAATTTTTATTTATTTTCATAAAAATATGAACACCAACAGCAACTTGAAACGATTAAAACAATTGAAGAGACCTTATCGCTATAGTACTTGATATGGAATGTGGCAAAATGTAGTTGATATTGAAGCTATGTTTACATTTAGTGAATCGTAATTTGCCGTATGACTAATGTAAGTTATCGTTTATGACACATGAAAGGTTTGTTTTGGTTCTTTATTTATTCCTTAATAAATCTTTCATCAGGCTGGATTGGCATCTATTATTGGCATCAGAGAAGTGAGTAATTATACCGTATAAGCTTTGAAGTTCCGCACCAGAATAAAAAAAAACACGTTCAAGTACCTGCATGACTAGTAGGCACTGCTTCCACTATGTCTGGGTTTGATTGGAACCAAGCAAGAATTTCAAACAAAATGTTCAATTGAAAATTTGTTTTTCAAAATTACGAATTTCTCATAAAATTCCATTTTCGAAACAAAAGTTAAAGTTTAAACCTTTTTTATATATTTGAATCGATTTTCTTTATCAATCCAACATTTCCGTCAAAGATTGTTGAAAAACAAAAAAAGGCGTTGGACTTCAGCATTTTTTCTCTTCTCTTTTTACTTTTATACCTTACTTTGTAGCTGGGTCGTATGGAGGATGGTTATTACTCAGTTTTGATGAGCAAAAATGATGCGCATATCAAGCAATAAAGTCGCATTAAATCGACACTTTATTTTAGTTCAACATTCTCAGCAGTTCACCAAATGAAGCAGTAAAAACCACAGTTATCAACTTTCCACAGAGTTACTAATGCTCTCTTATCAGAGATAATGCTTTCTTTTATTAATGGCAATGTTCTCATTTTCGGATCAAATTAATCCACTCAAAAAAAATGTCATTTTATCAAAAATTGTACACTCACTCAATAATAACAATAATTCAAAACCAGGTTTATTCAACCATAATAATAGGATTCATAGATACGCATCATAAAAGTTAGATATTGTAAGTTCTTCCTGAACGCTTTAATCCAACGTCAATTAACGCATCGAACGATGCGAAAAATGAAAGTCACATTGAGTTTTTGTTTAAAATTGAGTTTTTATTTTTTTATTTCACAGCTCATAAAATTAAAATACAAAATACATTTTTCTACTGTTTACAATCACATATGGCAAATAGACCTAAATAAAAAAAGATTTATTGCTCTCGCTTCAAATAACAACTATGAACGATATATGAACGAATATGAAAACAATTAGATAAGAAAAAAATTCCAACTTAAATCATTAGAATTTTGTTTGAACGGTGATTTCGTTGACTTTTTCACCTTCAAGCATTCTTTGAATTTCAGTCAACGTTTTTCCTTTCGTCTCCGGCACAAAGAAGTATACGAACAATATGCTCATAAAAGAGAATCCGGAGAAGATCCAAAACGTTTGTCCGATTCCGAATTGATCGCTCATCGCGCTGAATGTTGATGTCACTATAAAGGCGACCATCCAATTGACGGCACCAGCCAATGAACCAGCAACTCCTTTGATATCATTTGCAAATAATTCACCCATCATTATCCAAGGAATTGGACCTGTTGGCAATTGAAGAAACAATTTGGAAAAATGCACGTAAGTAAGGATCGATTGTAAATTCACAATGTAATAAGAAACGACGAAGACCGTAAAAAACGTCTATCGTATTCCGTTGATTCAACGGCTCCTTTTATCAACGACAAATGTTGACGGTATAAAACTGTTTGCGAAAAAATAAATGAAAATTACCAATGCCAATAGAGAAGAGAATAATATAGGAGCACACTGCAACAATAGGTAGCCATCCAATATCAGCGACACTATCAACATTCTGATCTCTCATATAGAAATAAATGCCCAGCGTAAATGTGGAAAGTGTCAGTACAATTGTTGATGGCAACAACAGCAATCGACGTCCCAATTTATCGACAATCATCGACGATATAAATACTGTGATCACTTGCATCACACCAAAAATGATGGTTGACAAACTAGCGTCGATGCTCGAACCGGTCGAAGCAAAAATTTCGGTTGTATAAAAAATGATCGCATTAATACCGCTCGCTTGTTGGAAGAACATTAGGCCCCAACTGATGAAAATTGCTTTCAGTGTGGAACGACGTGACAAAGCTGCTACAAAAGATACCTTGTTCCTTTTTTCGGATTCATTTTGTGCTTGCAACTCATCTAATTCACGGGTATAGTCATACGCATCACCACGTAGCCATTTCAATGAAGATATGGCAGCTGATGTTTTAGCCTTTGAAACCAAATACGCTGGCGATTCGGGTATAAAAACAAAAATAATACCGAAAATAATGGGCAGCGAACCACACATCAAATTCAATGTAAATGCGGTAGTTTGAGAGCCAATGATGTATGGAAAGAGAACACCAACTACCATCATCAATTGAAAATAGGTTCCAAGCGTTCCACGAATGCTCGCTTCGGATATTTCACTGGTATATGTTGGTGCACTGATACAAAACGCACCACCCGAAATACCGAGCAGGAAGCGACCCACATCAAGCATCGCCAAATTCGATGCAAATGTAACCAGGATCCAGCCAACGGTGAAGGGAATTACAAGCAACAACATTGTCAGCTTGCGGCCAACTGCTTGAAGAATCGTACCTATGAATAGGCATACTACTGCTGCACCAAGCGTTACGAGTGATCCAATCCACGCAAAATCTTGCGATGTTATTTCAAAATCATACTCGGGCTGGAAATCGGTGGATGTATTCACCAATAAACTTTTCACCGGTGATGACCATCCCAAGGTTGTACCAGCTGCAAATGCACCAGTTGTTGCTAATGAATTGAATGAAGGTGATTTAATATCGGATGCAGTATTTTCTTTGTCTTTTTTTTTGAGTCTAAATCTAACTTTTGAACATGAATTTGGAGTATCTTGATATATATATATTATTTATGATTTACCAGCAAGTGCCGCTATATACTGCGTTTTTGTTTTACTGGCCTTTGAATTGCTTGCATCATAGTCTACCATCGCTACGAAGAAAATTATAAATTATTCAATTTCATCAAATAATAAGGAATTTTGTGGATAAATTTGAACTAAAACGGAATTTTTTTGATTTTGAAATTCAAAGAATGAAAGAGAAAACTAAAATGCCAAAAGTGGTTTTTTAACCGAATTTTCTCTATTGAATCGTAGTATCAACAAAGGCAATTGCTTCTTTATTTAAAAATTGTATTCTCTCTATCATATTTGTATTAACGAATAACATTAGTTGCCTACACGTAAAGTATTTTATTTGCCGTTTTCCACATTGAGTTCTCAAAAAAGGTTTTCTTAAAGAATTTTATGACCAAGTCATCCATTAATAATTAACTACACAGATTTTGATCCTTAAAAAACAATCCAAAGTAGACTGTTTACCTGCAAACAGCGATTTCTTTGTCCACGATGCTGTTAACGTTTATACTTCCAGAACAGGTAATCTTGATTAGTAATGAAGTAATGAATCATTACATTATTTTGACGAAGGACTTTTTTTAATATTTTTCAACTCTTCTTTAAACAACTGAAAATGGCCATAGAGAGGAATTGATGATGATTTTATATTGAAATGATTCTTGTACAAAAATTAATCTTCTTTTAAAGTTTTAATACAAGTTTTTTTTTCATTATCAATATCCGATATCAATAAGTTACAAGTTTCTAATATCAATAATTTTTGCCAATTTTCAATTTTTTGGTTAAAAAACAAATTTTTGAGGTATTAATGTTTTGAATTTGTAAATTTGAGTGTAGTTTTTAAAAATGTAAAAATGATTGAAAAGAGTCGATTCATAAATATACACAGATTCTTTGAAAAACGTCAGAAATGTATATCGATCGAAAAGTGAACTATTCTCGTTCATTGGCGGAAAAAATGTGGATTTATTTTCTCAGATTATGAAATAATATTTCAGAAATATTTTTGCACATAGATCCATTTGAGCCATAAGACTTTAGATATTGGTGAGATATTTTCAGCCGAATTTAAGCAGACTCAAAAAGAAAAAAATGGAGACAGATCTATAACGTGACCAGAAAATGGTAAATTCTTGAAAAGAAATTTTTTTGCGCTTTTCCTGGGTCCTCAGCTTGATGGAGAATTTGTGTGAAAATGTCTCTGTGCAATGTTACTTTTATAAATCCCAAAGAACGTTTAAGTTTCCAAAGACATTGAAAAGCTCACCTTGAATTATTCACTTTAATCTTTTGTCACAACAAGTTTAGTCTATTATTAATTTGCTGATTTATCAAAATTGGCAATAAATTTAATTAAATCAAAATTAGCATTGAAGCGCTACTAAATACAAGATTTATTTCAATGATTCAAATAAATTATTTGAAGAAAAAAAAATGAAAAAACACCTCAAATATTAAATGCGATTCACGTCGAAGTTTTGTTACAAATGGAGTAGTAATCATTCTTTGATCTAATTTCAACTCGCTCGACTAGGATACGGTGTGCAAGATGTAATTCTATCTTTATTGTCAAATTTTATTATTATTTACTGTCATTTCATTTCATTTTTGCATATTTACCGTCGCTTTTAGTAAATCACAAACGATTCCATAATGATAAATCTTATCAATGATCTAAAGGGGGAATTTTTCCTCCTAATAAAGCAAATGACGTGATAAAAATGCCGTATTTTTTTATTAGTAACATAATTTCAATTTATTAGCCATCAATTTAAACACCATTAACCACACACCTCTTGGAGAATTCCATAAATGTTTAAATCGCTCAAAAACAGTTTAAATTACCCACTAAATTGTGTGTTCATTACATCTCTAATAAAATGACAAGCCTTCTTTTGAATCGTACGGTACTTTTGATGGTGACGCTACGCTGTTGTTAACACATTTTTATTGACAATAAAATTTTGTGAACGGTAACAATAATTTGTTGACAGAGTACAGGCCTTTGTAGATAATAGATATATCATGTTTGATATTCGACCTTGAAATGCCACGGTTTCTTCCATTGAAAACTTTTATAGGAAGTGAAGTTTGTATCAGAAAAGAAGCCATAAGAAAACCATAGATTTATTGCCTAAAACGATAAAAAATAAAATTCACATATAGTTGGCGCTGCATTCTATGCAAACTTGTTTTCCGTTGTAACGGACTAAGTGGAAAGTATACGCTTATTACATAGAATGTAGCGCCTACTAAACGTGAATTTTATTTTTTTATCATTTTGGGCAGTAATCTTATCGCTTTTTTCATGGAAATGAATTTTTTTTCAATAATCGATGAGATTAGGAGTCTGTGTTGAATGTTGTTGTTAGAAGGTGAGAATAACATATGAATTTTTATTAAAATTGACAACGTTACTTATCTTTATTTTATTATCTTATTTTTCATGAGTCCAAATGTATTTAATTTTATGACCTTACCATAATATGTGCAAGGCTGTGCAAAATCAATTTGTTTTGAATACTAAACTGAATCGAATAACTGTTGAGATATAACAGAGTCACCGTACTTACTTCATATAATTTTTCATGTACTCCAGTACTGAATACAATAATGAGAAAGAAAAGATCCCACACCTCTGTGGTTTCTATAAAAGCTCTGCATTTCAAAGAAAATCGGGGATGTTTTCGCACGTAGGATCGTGACAGTTAATACAATTTTGTAAAAAATCGATGTGTTTGATCATCAAACTTTGATGCATGCAAAATCGTTTGTAATATGGAACACTTTAAACATAGATCATGCAATCGATTCTTTTCCGTCTTATTTTCTTTTGTGCTTTGAGACATCAAGCCTCAATCTTACATCTGTGACTTAAAAAGTGTTAGTGCATTCCGGTTAATCTTACTCTACACGGGTTTATTTTCGAAGTATAAAATAAATAAATAAATGCCAACATTGCAAAAGAAAGAGAAAATGATCTGGAAAAGTATATTCGTGATAGTTCATTAAGCGCTACCATCGGAATGATTCGTTTGGATACGATTAAAGGCGCCGAATTCAATCTTTTAGTTAATCATTACTACACATTGTTGAAATCAAGCATGAATATTGAATAACACGAATACCTAATGGTTCTTATCGTATAATATCACATTTTATTTGTGAAATGTAAAATTCTCAATAAAGATTTTTGATTCTGTTTTATTCCTTTGCTTTTATTACATATTGTTAGTTTTCTTTGCACGAAAATAATGAACACACCACTGCCGGTTACGACTATTATTATGTCATAAAAATCGCTCCTACTCCATTTGCCTCCACGTAAGAAGAAAAATCCGTGGTTTATATTGTTGTTTGTTGAATCGCAATTTCATTTTTTATCTTTTTGTTTGGATCAATTCGAACCCCAAAACAAATCGATACAAATGAGAAATGAATGTTTATTTCGATGAAAAATACAAAATCACGTCAGTGAATCGACTCAATTCATTTCATTCGAACGGAAAAATGACTTTGTCTCTTTTGACTCCGAATATTTCAAATTTTCACAGTTTGGCACTTTTCATTTGCCATTTATTCATTGACGGTCAATTTCGTTCCGGCCACATCATCTACGATTCAAATGGTTTCGAAATCACGCCATTGCTCAACGAAATTCAATCAATTTGTACTCGATCAACTCCATGGATTTTGACTGACGTCACCAAAGAGCCAATTCAATTACCATGGAAGCCAGCCGAAAGCACCGATCACATTCTTCAATTGATTTTCGTTGACGCTGACAAGGTGCCCGAGAACATCCATGATAATAAGGGATTTTTCACATTTTATCGACTTTTCGTCTCTTCGTCATTCGAAAATGTGAGTTTTGCAGAGAATCAAATAACATCAAGAAAGAGCCTCGACCCAATTTCTCTGCATCTACACTACAATTCAAATGAAGATTCAATAGTTGTGTATTTAATCGAAACCCAAAACAAAATTCAACAACAGAAAATTGAAGTAATTTATGCCCACAGTCAAGAAAGTCAATTTCAATATAAAAACTTGTTCAAATCGACATTCGAAACATATGCATATGATTGGCAGATTGCAATTAACTACAAGTCCACAGGAGCGTGCAATTATAGCGATAAAATTCTAAATAAGTTCAAATTTCGACTGGGTTTGCCATTCATTTTAAGTTTTTTCACATCACAATTGAACGGATCTTACATAAACCTTGTAAGTGCGAGTTGTGAAAATCCATCCGTTCAATGGATCCATCAAAATGTTCGTAACAAACCCAGTGCATTTTACAAAGAATTATCGGTATACGAACCGATTGACAACGTGAATAGGTAATAGTTTGCATTAAATGTTCCACAGATATAAAATTCAAGGTTGACTTTTTTTAGGACACACCAGCAATCGCATATTTTAAATCTTAACATGCAACAAATAAATGGAATTAAAGCAGATATTCCACTCTATCCATATCTATCTACTGAAGTGAAAGTGATGCTTGTTTATGGAGTCGGTGAAAACCGTAACCATCGCGTGATGTACACAGAACCCGGTTCGTCAGTGGAATTTTTATTCCAGGGATGTTTTTTGTGGGCAGCGGCCGTTCTTTGCTATGTCCGTCGCAGGAATCGTCTTCGACGAAACGGTTACATTTCATCCTTTATTGATATCGTGAGCGCAGTTTTCACTGGGCAGAATTTGCGACTTCAAAACACTTTCGAGAGATGGTTTTTGCATTTTTTAATGATTTCTGGCTTTTTCCTCGTGGCCATTGGTGTTCAGGCCACCTTATTCCCAAAGTTGTTAATTTCTGATGGGAAAATTAAGACACTTCAACAGTTGGTCAAAATGAATCTTCAAATTGACATCAGTGATAGATTGAAGAAAGAATTTTTTGAGGAATACCTAAGGTTCACTGTTTGAGCTTTTTAGAAGCAATTCATATAATTAACACAGATCAATTGAACCCATTTGCAGGCAAAAAGAAGAGAAATTCCAGAGTGTCTTGATAACAGAACCCATCGAGATAATGCTTAAAAATAAAAGTGCATTTGCATTTATTTACATTATGAGCGTGGAAAAAATTGTTGTTCAAATAGTGAAGGATGCCAATCGAAAATTTGATATTTTGGAAGAAACCTTAGGTATGGTCGTCTATTTAGATCTTTTCTTTCAATATGAATTTAATTCTCGATTTATTTTAGGTTCTCTACCTTTGACATTTCAATTGGGGACCAATGACAATGGATATGTTCCAGAGCGAATAAAGCGCGAAATAGACAAAACAACAAATTCAATGATAGAAAGTGGACTGTACCGATTTTATAAGTCTTTTGCAGCATTTCACACTGAAATACATGAAAACAAAGAAAACAGCAATGAAGACGAAAATGATATAGCTTCAATAGAAGAATATTTCATCAATCTGTTAATCATGTTTTTGATACTTTCGGGAATATCTTTTACCGTTTTTATCACTGAAATCATTGTCTATCAAGTTAACAAAGGGCTACGTCGTGGGCAATAGTCCGTTTGCCCGTGTATAATTATCTAAAAGCCACTGAAATTTTTGAAATCGGCTTCACTGTGTATAATTGTATTTTTTCGCTTTTTGAAAACGCACATTTGCATTTATATAAACAGTTTTAATAGATTTTGGTTTTTGAAGTTGAAGTTTTTGAATGTTAAAAGTGAGATTCATGAAACTAATAAGTTTTGAAAAATTTATGGAAAATTAAAATATCGTAAACGGTTTTTTTTTTTCAAATATGGGCAGGCAGATCTGAAATATTTTGTAGGATGTAGTCGTACTGATAAAACTTGTTATTCATCAACTGCGTCACTGAATAATATTCAGTGAATATGTATACTCTTTAGTCGGAAACCCCCCAAAAACAATTTATCAAACATTTTAATTCAAACAGATGTTCTTCGTATTGTATTATCCAAAAGATTGCTTTCATTTTTGAAGGTCATTCAGATATTTGAATATCTACAACGAAAAGAAAAACAATGTAAAGCACAATGCAAGATGGTATGATTTATATTGGAGATGGATCGGATCGGCGTCGATTCATCTACGCGACTGGTAGCATCGTATGCACATCGTTTATTTATGACGATGCGCATGTGATACTACGGCCTAGCACTTAAGTGTATGTATTATGTTTTAATAAAGACCATTCGTCATTTGAACGAGATTGAGTGTGTTTCATTTCAATATCATCTACAATATAAAATAAAAATAAAAAGATAACAATATAATAAAACATATTTCGTTATCGGTTAATTTTTCTTATTCTGTGCAGAGCAAGTGTTCTAGAAAAAGCAAAGAACAAGTGAGATTAAAATTAGTCACATTGATATGAATAAAAACTAAAAAATCAACAATGCAAATAGTACTTCTCGTATCATCTTGTGTGCATAACAAGCTTCGAGTTGTTTTACAGTAACTCATAATATTCAAAAGTTTATTCGCATTTTTTATAATCAAGAAAACATAAAGAGTGCTGGTCCAATACAATCCGGCGTTTTTTTGTTTGTTATTTCCAGTAATATCTCAACATAAAGAAGCATGTCGTAAGTTCTTCTATACATTTTCAAAGCAAATAAAAACTACATTAAATACATAAAATCGGTAGAGATATATATCTTTGTTAATAAAATGAATGAAAGAAAGAACTTCTTCTGGTATATAAGGTTAACAATATTTTTACTTCTAAAAAACCTTAAATTTTTTTGATATTTTACGCTTGATATGGAATAAGAAATGTAAATTAAATTATGTTTTTAATTTAGATGAAGATCTGTTTTTTAAGTCTGTTTAAATCTCAATATAAATTAATTTTACTAGAAAACGTTGAAAAACGTATAAAAGGAGTTACTTCCCGAATCAATCCAATATTCGAATGATTTTAATTCAAAATGTCCGAAACTGGCTTTTATCATTTCGGATCAGTTTTGTTGGCAAAATTCTTATATTTTGCAACGCATTTTGCGTGCCAAATTTCATTGTAGTCTTAGCATTTTCATCTTTTGCGATTTTTGGACATTTTGCCCCAAAATTCCGTAAAGTTCCAAACCCATTTTAAAATGGTCAGCTTTCACTATACACGCATTGAGCACCCAAGAATCGAGGGTTTCTCGCTTCGGGGACTCCGAACACTAATTCCCTATTTACGCCACTGCCTTTGTTGATTTTTTTTTTGGGCTCCCATAAAAATATCCACATTTTTGGCCATTTTTGCATGTATGTATGCATCAACAATTCATTTTATCGCAAAACTATATATCTGTCATAATGGTGCATAGTCGAAGATCACATTGGCGATTGTTTGCGAAGAACTAAATCATTTATTTTGCTAAAATATTCAAAATTTCTTTCACAAGCAATTTCTGTATTAAAATAGTTTATTTAATGATTAAATTCATTTATTGCGTCTCCTTTTCCTCTACCAAAGTTCCATCCGGATATGGTTGATACAATCGTTCTGTTGTGAATGTTTGCATGTGCTAAACGTTCTTATAAGTTAAATTTGATTTGTTTGCGAATTTTCCATTAAATAATAAAATTTATCAAAAAGAGTTTTAAAATTTGTATGAAATTAACAAGATTTTATTATGTTATTAACTCTTTTTTTGAAAATTGATAAGTACATAAGACTCATTTGATAAAATTGTACAACGATTTTTATTAAATTTATGTAAAAATAGCTTTGATTGTGTTAAAATGAGTTCATACTAAAAGGACATGATTCACATAATAAAAAGTAGATTTTTTTTTCAAGTACACTAACTTTGTCCAAAAATCTCAAAATTCAAACCATGCATTTTGATAAAAGTTGAATAGTCAACCGAGTTTTATACTAATTATTTGGACAATATTTGAAAAAAAACTAGAGGATTGTTCTTGTCTCTTTCTTTTATATTCATACATGGCGCCCATACAAAAAACTACACTTTTTTGCCATTTTTGCAAATACTTTTCAGGAGAGTGCGTCGAAAATCAATTTTATCACAAAATAAACCTCCTTCCTATTCGGCTTTCTCATGCCATTTTTTTCAAAAAATCTCATTTTTTCTTGCAGTAAAATTCGTCAAATCAAAACGATTCCATTGAACTCATATAAGAATTCGGTGAAATCGAAGGCATATCAACACATTTCTCACATCTTGTTAGCTGTGATTGTGATTGCATTATCCATTTCAAGCGTAGTCTTATGGAACGTTTTCCAAAAGCAGCCATATGATCAATTGCCGTGCCATTATTTCCATAGTGTCAATATTTCCGGTGGAATTCAACGTGAGAATGGGAGTATTACATTCGATAACATTACATATCCGAAACATTTATATGGTGAAATGGACAAAGTGATACGTTATGATGAGTTTGGAGAACCATTTTATGAAAAAGTAGCACCATATTTACGCGGATGCATTTGTAATATTACCAATTGCATGCACGCTTCTTATGTTGTTGACGGAATCAGTAAATGGGGTGACAATGCCGCAGCATATCGAGTAATAGAGCCAGATCTAAATACCGATTTTAAGTATATCTATGAAAATCCTTGCGTGAAAAATATTGAAGCCACCCCCGATGAAATCAATATAACAGATGTAAGTGCCTATTCTTTCGATTGAATTTAAATAATGAATATTGGATCTTTCAGACAGGGATTGTAATATACGACGGTATCGATTTAAATCCGGACGATTTATACCGATCGTATGATATTAACGAAGGAAATGTTACCTATTTCATTTGTTATGAAAAGGCAATCGATTACATGAAAATTGATATACGCGTTGCCGTTTTGCCATATGGTATGTGTAGTAAATTCAGATAGATCAATATTTATTAAAAATATATAAATTGGAGATTTTCTCGCGCTGGCTGACACAATGTAACTGCTCGTTTAAAGCCAATACGACTTCAGTAACGCGTATTAGAACAATTCACGCTTCGTGTATACTCGGCACATCATTGCTTCTTTACGGAATATCAGCCGTTGAGTTCACTGCGAACTGTCGTGCATGTGTTTGCTCACAGCCATACATAGTCAAAGAAAGTTCGCACAAAAGAGAATGAAACATTTACATATGGCTACTTGATGTTTTTTTACCATGTAGCAGTGAGTTCTACTGCTTATATTTGCCTAAGCAGCGAAGATGTGCCGAGTGTACACGAAGCGTGAATTCTTCTAATACGGGTAGTAAAAGTCGTATTGGCTTTAAACGAGTGCTGATTAACATTTTATAATACGTACCCACCAGTAGTGCTGTCTCATCCAGCGAAAGACAGTCTGCACCATGAGCCGAATCGAGAACACTTGAGATTCTTGTAGTGGACCCAAAGTACCAAAAAAACCAAAAACCATGTAGGTTAAAACGTAAATGAAAGTATTGAAATATGAGCTTTATTACGAAACTTTGTACGAATCGGTGTTTATTTTGGTACCATCAGTACTAGTCGCTATTTTCTCGACACTGTCAGTCATTTTTCAATATTCTTCGTTGTTTTTTGGTACTTTGGAACTTAGTCCCCTCTTGGCCTTGGCATCCATTTTCAATTCTCTCCTCCCATTAGTTATGCAGCTTTCGGTGGCATTCATCGTGGCAACAATTCTATTGTACATCTACATGCGTGATATACGTAATTTGCATGGAAAATGTATGATGTGTTATTTACTGAGTTTGGCATTTGGTTACGGTTTCATGAGTTGGTTATATATCAACGGTAATGATTATGTTGAGCCGATATATTGCAATTTCGTCGCATATTCCATGTATTTTTCATTTGAATCGGCCTTTCTCTGGTTGAATGTGATTTGTTTCGATTTATGGTGGACAATTTGGTGAGTTTACACCTTCCAAAATGAAAAGCAACATAAATAAAACCAATTTCATTAAAATAGGAACACAATTGGATTTGCATTAACTGCAAAAATGCGACTCTGCATCTATACGAGTTACACATTTACAATATCATTACTTTTGGTGTTCATCGTTTTTGAAATTGACCAAAATGAAAATATACCAGAAGAATACAAACCCCAAATGGGTGTAAATCAATGCTTTTTTGGCCGTAAGCAAACAAAAAATCGTTGATTTAAAAGAAAGTGTTTCAAATATATTTTTTTAGATGAATTTCTACCCATGTTTCTCTACTTCTATTTACCATTCTTCATTTCGACTTTGTTGAATATTGTATTTTTCATATTGGTGGCGTTCAGAATCCACCAAATCAAACACAACCTATCGAAGTTTGAAAGCAAAAAACATCAAAACCATGAAGACAAGTTAGAATTATTTCAAATCGCTGTTGACATTACCTAACACATGAATATCTATATTACAGTTTCATTTTACTCCTACGGTTGTTCATTTTGATGGGCTCGTGCTGGTGAGTTTAATTTTTCTATTGTAAGCAGTCGAAAAGTGCGTTAATAAATTAAATGATTTTTCAATTCAACAGGATTATGGAAGCGATTTCATTTTTTGTCGACCCGAAGAGCATGAGCTTCTTTGTATTTGACTTTTGGAACTGTTCCCAAGGAATTCTTATTTTTGTGAGCACATTATTCAAACAACGTGTACAAGCTAAGATCAAGAAAAGGTTTGTGAAGATTATTCAAAAGGTTTTTCGGCGATTGTTGAATTTCAGCAGAGGCTGTTTCTTAGAGCAAGATATTTGAAAGCTCCGAAGGAAGTTTTTTTTCATTTTAATATTTTGCTGCTCACTGAGGTGGAGCTTACATATACTACTCTGAGAAAAAGTCTCTGAATTACAGCGATCGACACCAATTTGGATTGATTTTGCTTTTGTTTTGAACCAAACGCACCAAGTGCAACATTCAATGGCCGGGCCATTTTGAATCATAGTTATTTCTCTGCAAAAATCACTTTAAGAACTTGCCACTTGCTCCATTTTCTTCAAAGCATAACCAAAATTTTCAATTTGAAGTTTTAATCGCCAACATTCTCTAAATCTCATCCGAATAACATATTTTGATCTCTTATTTTTCTTCCAGATTTTTCGCCAAACGACCATTACGAAATGGAAGCATCATAACGAATATCTCTCTATTGAGTGTTGATTCAACAATGAAATTTAGCCACAACACCAAAAGCGATTATTAGGAATGAAATGATATTTTCTCAGCGATCGGGAAATATTGTTGATTTTCGAAAAAGTAGATCTTTTCAAACTTCGATTTAAACCATAGTTATTATGAAAACATCACAAGTTTTATGAAATGAATTCAAGCCCTAGCGGTTTTATTCATTGCAAAATAAATTGAGTCACTAGATGAGAGTGCATTAAGTTAAGAATTGACAAGTTCAAAAATATGCCGTTTGACTGAAATGTTTGAATTTTCAAACAAAAATGTCGCTCAAACTATACATTTGAACGCTCTAGAATAAAAACAACGTTTTTTTTTAACATAGATTTGTTGTTGTAATACAACAACAATTCTATATAAAAAAATCGCCGTGTTCCGCTTTGATATAACAACCATTCTGTACGTTGTTTTTATTCTAGAGCGTTCATTTGTCGATGTTACAGTCAGACATTTCAATGTTTACAAAGTATATTTTTAATCCACATTTTAATAGACTTTAAATAAAGTTACCTTTACCATATGATTCTCTTTTTCGATTGGATCTAGAGAGATACAAAATATACATAGAATAGTTCCAATAGAATCCACTCAGAGATGTTAGTGGCACCGCTTTCCTTGTAAATGTTGCTCTTTCTCGTTCTCAAGACCTGAAACTTAGGTGCAGTACTTGAAAAATCATATGGAATAAGTGCGGTTACAAGTGAGTGGCCGCATTTCTCCAGCGCCAATAAAAGCTCTGACTCAACTACTTCAAATTATGAACAAAGAAAAACGCTTTTATTCAACAAAACAATTTTTTTGCACTTTTTTTTATTACATCATGATTTATTTAGCAAAAAACGTGAAGTGTGTGTTTCTACTACAGCTGTTTTTACTCATTTCATTTTCCAAGATGGCTAAATTTAATTAATTTTCCAGTGTGTATGTAATATGTACCATCTTTAATCGGTGTTGGGTTTGTAATTTCCAGTATAAATCCAATCGAAGTTTTATTCATATAAGCGCATGGAATTCCATTACTGAGTGTAAGTTTTTTGCTTCTCTGTATGATTAATTCGCGAAGAACTATTGCGGATTTATGATCGCACAGTATCTTATCAACAATGCCACTAGCTGCGCAGCCTAAAATTACAAATTCCATTACGCAAACGCATGATTATTTTCAATAAAACAAACTTACCCGGTTGATTTTTCC